GATAGCAGGAGGGGAAGAATGAAGGGGGGGGAAATCAGAGGAGGAGATGAACCATGAGAGATGATGGACTCTAAAAAACAAACAGGGTTCTAGACGGGAGGGGGTGGGGGGATGGGTTAGCCTGGTGATGGGTATTAAAGAGGGCACGTTCTACATGGAGCTCTGGGTATTATGCACAAACAATGAATCATGGAACACTACATTAAAAACTAATGATGTAATGTATGGTGATTAACATAACAATAAAAAATTTAAAAAAAAAAGACCTCACACAAACACACACAAAAAGAATATGTTGAAGGTTCAGAATGTACCTGGGGTCTAGAAAAGTTTAGAGTCACTGTCATGTCCTTGAAATAAGTATCTGACCTCCCAAAGGTGCAACCTGACTTGGGTATGGATGCTTTATAAGAATGTGTCTCATTTTTTTAAGTGAATCAACTGTGGCCACACCTTATCCACGTACTGCTATCAACATGAGGGCATTGGCAGCTAGGTTTAGACCTTTCAGTTGCATAATTGTGTTTGAGATGCTCATTTGTGTAAAGTCTGGTCAGGAATATCACATGATGGAGTGGTATGTGGGTGATTGAAAAAATTTTCTTTCTTTTTTTTTTGCCTGTCCAGTTCCCAGTGCTGCTCCTCAGAATCTGTCCTTAGAAGTGAGAAATTCAAAGGTAAACTTTATATTGCTATTCATTTTTACTGGCATACTAATAAGTCTCAGAAGGACTTAAAAGAGAGGGAGATTCTATATCAAAAGAATTGTACTCAAGCAGAGAAATAAGGTGTCATAGATATTACACCTGCCAGTAAAGCTGGACTTAGAAACCGACTCCGTGTTTTCTGTTTAATTTTATTGCCTTTCTCTGATGCCAAGATTACGTTAGTCTTTCTGCAGATACATTGTAGTTTGCAAATCCTGACATAATAGATCTTAACAGTTCAGAACATTGGTGATGAGGTGGAAAGAGGTAAGTTGTTTATGATACCGTGGCCCCTTAGTACTGTGAAGTGAAGGTAGACATCCGTCAGAACGGTGCATAGGCTCAGACTCCCTCCTGGCCACGTCCACTGTACACTGAAGGCCATGTGTGCCTCTCCAAGGCCCAAAGCCGCTTCTGGGCTACATTGACAACTGAGACACTCAGTCCTTTCAAAAAACACCATGGGAATCCTTGTCCTTTAATTAAAAACCAGTTATTAATTAATGATTCCCTTCTCGGAGAGTTTTAGGCAGAATTGTCTAATTTCAGCTGTTCCACAGTGGAGATAGCAGAGAACCTTACACCTAACCATAGTTTACTTCCTAATCTATGTGCCTTTGACCTTATATTTTCCTTCTTAAAGCTTTTCTGAGACTTTTGCCTAAATGTCTAAATACCGAGGAGAATAAGGGCCCAGAGCATACTGCCTGCAAATATAATCTTCCCATTTAATCACTGAGGATTTTAAAATTAAAAATAATTTTGAGTGATCCCTAAGTAAAACTCTGTCTTTGCACCCTGCTGCCTTATGTCAGTGAATTCAGGATAGTAACTTAGAAAACAGGACCAAGCTTTTGATATATTCAGTCTTTTCCCTATAATTTTGTCTTTCCCAGAGTATTGTGATTCACTGGCAGCCACCTCCTCCAGCCACACAAAATGGTCAGATTACTGGCTACAAGATTCGCTACCGAAAGGCCTCCCGAAAGAGTGATGTCACTGAGACCTTGGTAACTGGGACACAGTTGTCTCAACTGATTGAAGGTAAGCTGCCTTGCGTGTGGGTGAAAACTAGGAGATGGCATCTTTCTCAGGCATTGAGTTATGCTCGTCTAATGACTACTCTGAGTGGTTGACTTAAAGTGAAAACAGTTCAAAAGAATTCGTAACGGTTCAGTCTACTTCTGACTACATAAAAGTTAATGGAACACAATCTAATAGGTTCTGTCATCTCTGGCTGTTGAGTTTTATTTCTTTACTTGTGGTTTTGTGTTTTCTCCACATTTTCTTTTTTGAATGTATATATACAGCTCTTCCTCAACTTACGATGGGGTTATGTCCCAATAAACCCATCAAAATTTGAAAATATCCTAACTCAGAAATACATTTAACACACCTGACCTGCCAAAATCATAGCTTAGCCTAGGCTACCTTAAATGTGTTCAGAACACTTACATCAGCCTACAGCTGGACAAAACCATTTAACACAAAGCCTATTTTATAACAAATTATTAGATACCTCATGTATTTTATTGAATACTGTACTGAGATTGAAAAACAGAATGTTCTAAGTGTATAAGGAGTTTACCCTTGTGATCCCAAGGCTGACTGGGAGCTGCCACTGCCCCTGCCCAACATCACAAGAGAGGATTGTGCCTCCTATCTCTAGCCTGGGAAAAGATCACAATTTAGAATTTGAAGTGCGGTCTCTACTGCATGCATATTGCTTTTGCATCACTGTAAAGTCAAAAAATATTAAGTTGAACCACCCTGAGTCTGTATTGGTTTTTTGCAATCTCAAAACAAGGCAAAACAAAGCTATATAGGCCAAATATCTACTGTAAAGGTCTACAGAGGTCTACAAAATGACTTTTATAACACTGATACCTCGTGTATGTGGCCTGAAACATTTGTGAATAGCTATAGCAGTGCAGTAATCTTTCTTGCTACATGATAAAGTTTTAGAGAATTCTGTCCAGGATAGCTCCTTTTGTATAGTTTTCCCTTTATGTGCAGCAGAGCAAGTGGCATATTAGGTAACAATGGGCCCTACTGCATCTCTAATATGGGCTTCCTCTATAGATGACAGAATAGCCCCCTCTTCCTTCACCCAGTAGGGGGAGTAGACTTGGCTCTGCAAGGGCCAGTTGGCTTTGCAGGAGAAGCATGGGAAGAAGATGAAGTGCTTTTTGCTCTTTGGATATTGGGACTGTACTTATAAAGAATAAAGATAGATGCCCCTAAGAAACCATTTTGGGGGTTCCTAGCAGAGCTGGTAGAAGAAAACTGCAAGAATTGGAGATATTGACATCATTATCTAAGCCCTGAGAATGAATTTCATCACCCTTGGGGAGCTCTCAGCTTCCCTTACATTGCCCCCTCCTTGGTAGAGAAGCTTGACATCAGCCACTTTCCTATGCCTCCAGGGGTCAAGTTCTTGATAGAACCAAGATCTGGGGTCAAAAAGTTTAGTGGGATGAGTTTCTAAGAATTAGGTGAGTCACTGACAGTGAAAACTTGTACTCTGGTAATCCAGCAAGCTTTTCTCCTTACTTTTCACCTCAAAGATGGGACTGACTTGTTTCAAAATAGGTGAATGTTTGTCTCCAAGGGTAGCTTTCAGTCTTTGAGTTTCTTCACATGAACCCCAGAGCTCTAAGCTGCAGCGAGTACACATGGTTGCAGTGGTGTTGCTGAGACATCTCACTAAAGGAGCATTACAGTGCAATTGGTCTCGTGTGTTCTTAAAAACCAGTTGCCGTGAGAGACTCTGGACTCCGGGAAACAAACTGAGGGTTACAGAAGGGAGACGGGTGGGGGATGGGGTAGCCGGGTGATGGGTGTTAAGGAGGGCATGTGTGGTGATGAGCACTGGGTGTTATACACAACTAATGAATCGTTGAACACTACATCAAAAACTAATGATGTGTACTATATGTTGGCTAATTGAAAATTAAAAAAAAAAAAAACAGTTGCTGCTTTGACTCCAAATACAGATAACATTTCCCATGCATAACAGTACCTGTATACCAGGTACTGTTCTTGTTGCTAATAATGTAAAAACAGAATATAGTCCTGGACCATGAGGAGGCTGTTCATGTTCTCAATGAAACGTTTGATGTGTAAGCAAAATAATCATCTTCATGGTAGAAATAGCTTTTTCTTTATGGAGAAAATCATTGCATTTCAAAATCATATTTAGATTCATTTGTTTAACAGACTTTATTGAACTTGTACTAGTGTGTGCTGGTACTAGGTATACAGTGGTGAGCACAAATGGACATCTTTGCTCTCTTGAAGCATTAACTTGAAGCTTGATAAGCATCAGAGAGCAATATGGATTACCAGGATCCTGTCCTGAACCACAAATTACATGACTCCGTGTTAGCCAGAAGTAATTGTTGTTTCTTCATTCTACACCACTTATGGAACTTAACACATTCTGCCATATCTTTATAATATGAATTGTAGGCCCTAGTTGAGTCTATGAACTCTGTAGGTAACCTGGGAGGAAAGGAACTCTTAGCCTTTTTACACATGCTTCTCTTGCTCACATGTGTGTGCACACACTCCCCCCCCCCCACCTCTTGCTTGCTGTCTTACATTCTAACTCTCCCCAGAGGGGAGGGAATGATAATTTGGTTGAATTCTTTCAGGATCTCAGTTGAGCCATGTCTGCCAGTAGTCCATGTTATTTGTCTATTAACAGTACAAACACATGCACAGCCTTCTCTGGCACTTTCTGCTTCAGTGTAGGCAAGGAGGTGTTGGGTAAACTGACTTGGGCCCAGCCATGTGGCTTCTCCTTCTGCCTTGCTTGTTGCTTTCTTGTGGGCAGACAGCTTCAGGATGGGCCTGCTGAGAACAGAACCTCCCATCTCTTCTCTCACCACGTGACAGGATTCATTAACGGAGCCATCCTGCATCCTGGCCACGTTCTCTCTCTCTCTCTGGTTCTCTCCTTAGACCTTCTGTACAATGCTGCTGGCTAGAGATCCCAATATTTCAATATGGGGAGGTTTGGATCATTTCTCATAACCTTGTAAGATGTAATGCAATATCTAGTATGTAAGTGCTCTAAAGATGTATAAACGGGAAGTGTACACTGAAAAATAGTTAAGATGGTAAATTTTGTTATGTGTTTTAACATAAAAAAATGGATGCATGAATTATCTGAATAGCTGACCATGTTATTGGCTGTTGCTCTACTTTGTAGGGTAGACTTTTACATGTGGATTTTTGTTGCCTTCAGTACATTGGTAAATTTATTACTCATAGTCATTATGAAAAATTGCATAAAAGAAAGGCTTTATTCCTCTTATTGTATATACTTATAGGTAGGTAGGCTATTGTGAAATAGATCTGTAAGCCATATTCATTTGTAGGCCTACTCTTGCTACGGGGTGCCTGAGAGAACAGAGGTGAGGTAACCCAGCAGGAATTACATCTTTTAATTCCTTTCCGTCTTGGGTGTCCTTCTGAGACCAACTGACTTTGTTCCATTGTCATGACTCTTTCATTATCCTTGACCTCTTTTTGACCTTAGCTTCCTTAGTAACAAAATGAAGGGATTACATTAAATGATCTCTGAGGGGCCTTCAAGCTCTTAAAAAAAAAAGGATCTGTAACCTCCTGGGAACTCTGGTCACTGGTTTCCCTCTTGAATGTGTGGGCTTCAGCCTCTGCTGGAGATGTGGGAGCTCGGCTGTGCTGTGGAGATGTATTGCTTGTGCCCTCTAACTTTAATGGAAACTTCATCAAGATAGTAGCTGTGTACTGATTTGGTGGATGAGATACTCAATGAGAAGTTGTTAATCTTTTGTTTTCCAGACTCTTATTTCAGCTTGTCTTTTTTTTTTTTTTTTTTTTTGTCGTTTGGGTCTCAGGTCTTGATCGGGGGACTGAGTACAATTTCCGAGTGGCTGCTCTAACAGTCAACGGCACAGGCCCGGCTACTGACTGGCTGTCTGCTGAAACTTTTGAAAGTGACTTAGATGGTAAGAACAACAATCTACAGGATTGGGAGAAGCTAGGTACTGACTGACTGTAGTCAAATTAGTGAAACTGGAAACCCACAAATTTGGGGGCGTTTATGGCTTAAGTCTGTGCACTTTACCGTATTACATGGCTGTCATTACTGTAATGCAGCGAGTCTCCTAGAGAGCTGCCCCCGCCCCGCCCTCACCCCCACCCCAGTGGCTTTTACGACCTGTCCCTTTCAGCAGGACCAGAACAAATAAAAATGTACAGGTGCTTTAAGTCTAGTTTTTTATCAAGGCCACTGAATAGATGAATGATCTGAAATTTAACACTGAGCCACATCAATCCACCTTTTTCAGCTACAGCTTTCCTTTTCCCTTAGTCCTGGACACCTTGCCCTTTTTCTACCTCTTTATTCAGTGAGTACCTTTATACAGCTGTGTATATGCCTTTATGACACACAGGTGCTACACTTGGGAGACAAAAGATCTGGGTCCTTATTCTCATTCTTGGTTTGCTAATTTTGAAATTTAGATAGCAAGTTATGCTTTGAAGTAACGGATTTGAAAGATATACTATAAATTGCTACCTTTTTTAAGCCTCTTAGTCTCCCACCATTTAAATCAATATGTGATTCTAAAGTTTCCTTTTTTCTGACTTATATTACTCAGGGGAGTAAATAATAGATACAATTGCTGTAATGTGATACTTGATCATCTGTTGACAACAGGCTTCTAATTAGTTGGTCTTATGCCTTTCTCATTCCACCTAGGTAAGTCTGGGACTCAGATGTGAGACCAAGAGGAATGAATAACTATTGAAAGGCAATTTGTTTCCCTCCATTGGGTAGAGGTTCTTAGATCTCTTTGTCTTCCCTTCCAAATTAATACTGCATTGTCTTGTATTTCAGGCTGTTTGGATTTTGCTTTCTTCTTAGAATATAGTAAAACTATGAGCCATACTTCACTACACATACAGATTCTCTGTGAATTCTTGGGCATAATGGAAAAATCTTAGCCCCAAATAATTTGGCAGGAGGCTAAACACTATGCCCCAAGGATGGTAAATATTCTAAAGTCTTGCTTTTCTACTTTCCTTCCCAGAAACTCGTGTTCCTGAAGTGCCTAGTTCTCTTCACGTCCGGCCACTGGTCACTAGTATTGTAGTAAGCTGGACTCCTCCAGAGAATCAGAACATTGTGGTCAGAGGTTATGCCATTGGTTATGGCATTGGCAGCCCTCATGCCCAGACCATCAAAGTGGACTATAAACAGCGCTATTACACCATTGAAAATCTGGGTATGTATGCTAAGTAGAAGAAGTAATTGCATATGGGATTTCTTTCTTTTGACATTTGATTGTATGATAATTTTATTTTTACAGAAAACTTTAAAATATAGTACAAAGAGGGGTGCCTGGGTGGCTCAGTTGGTTAAGCGTCTGACTCTTGATTTTGGCTCAGGTCATGATCTCAGGTCGGGCTCTGTGCTGGGCACAGAGCCTGCTTAAGATTCTTTCTCTCCCCTCTTTCTCTGCCCCTCCCCCACCCCACTCACACTCTCTCTCCCTCTCAAAAAAAAAAAGTACAGAGAATTTCTATATATTCTTCACTAAGAGTCCCCAAAAGTTAACATTTCACCACATGTGCTTTATCATTCTCTGTCTTCCTGTACATATATATTTTTTCACCGAACCATTTGAGAGTAAGTTACAGATGGGATGCCCCTCCACCCTCTGATACTTTAATGTGCTTTTCCTAAAAATGAGGAATTTTCTAATATAACTACAGTACAGTTATCAAAGTCAACAAATTAACACTCAGACAATATCTCTAGACTTTATTTATATTTTACTAGTTGCTCCATTAACGTCTTTATAACAAAAGAAAAACATTGTTTTCTGGTCCAGGATCACTTGTTGCATTTAGTTATCATGTCTCATTAGTTTTCTCTTGATACAGAACAGTTCCTTGTTTTTTTCTTGAATTTTATGACTTTGACATTTTTGATAAGTATAGACCATTTATATTTTATAGAATGTCTCTTAGTTTAGACTTGCCTAATATTTCCTCAGTACTCTCAGCTTATGCATTTTTGGAAGGAATAGCATACATACATTGTGTTCTTGTCAGTACATCGTATCAGGAGGCACATGAAAGTCTGGTGCTAGTGATGTTAACTTTAATCACTTGGTTCAGAGGGTATCTGCTACATTCCCTAAAGTTATTGTTTTCTCCTTCAGAATTAATAAATACTTTGTGGGGGAAATACTTTGAGTCTTTGTAAACATCTTATTTCTCGTCAAACTTTCATTCACTAGTTTTAGCGTCTTTAGTAACAGTTATTACTGTGGTGTTTCCCAAGTGAATTTCTAATTCTATTATTTCTTCTACATTTATCAGCATTCTTTGATAAAGAAGAGCTTTCCTTCTCTTCCTTAGTGAAAGAATGGCGAATGGGAGCCTATGACTGATTCCTCTGTTTGACATCTTCCATCTTTCTTTGAGCACTTTCTTCCTTTTGGACACAGTAAGATATAGTAGGCTCATCTGATATTTTCCTACCCTTAGCCCTTGAATCAGTCATTTCTCCAAGGAATGCTGGTTTATTTTATGGAAAATGACATTTAGAAACCAATATCTGAACACTATACACACTCCTTGTTATCAGGGTAGAAAATCCTCATGCATCTATAAAAAAGGCTACTAAGACTATAAGTGAGTTCAGCAAAGTCACAGGATACAAATTTAATATACAAAAATAGTTATATTCCCATGTACTAACAATAAGCAGTTGGAAGTTGAAATTAAGTCGTACCTACATAGCATCAAAAAATATGAAATACTTAGAGATAAACTTTAAAAATATGTACAAGGTCTATACACTGGAAATTAGAAAATTATTGCTGAGAGAAATTAAAGATGACTTAAATAAGTAGAGGTATCATGTTTATGAATCGGATAATATTATTAAAATGACAGTTCTCCCCGGTGCAATTCTAAGTAAAATCCTGACAGACTTTTTTATAGAAATTGATAAACTTAATTCTAAAAATCAAAGGAACTAGAATAACCAAACAGTTTTGAAAAAGAGAAATCAGATCTTTTCAACAATTCTTCAGATGTCTTCTAAAGACCCACATTACCTGATTCCAGGACTTATATAAGGCTACTGTAGTTGAGACATTGTGGTGGTATTGGTGCAAAGGTAGGTGTTACAGATCAATAGAACAGAATGGAGTCCAGAAATAGATCTATATATATGTGGTCAATTGATTTTTGACAAACACAATAAGATAATTTAGTGGGGAAGGTGTAGTCTTTTCAGCAAAAGGTGTGGGAAGAATTGGATATCTGTATGAGAAAGAAAGGGAACTTTCCTTGACCTTTATTTCACATCATACACAAAAACAGAGCTAAATGCAAGAACTAAAACCATAAAACTTCTAGAAGAAGACAGGAAAAAACCTTCATAGTTTTGAGGTAGACAAGTGCTGTGTGTGCTGCCATCTCAACATTTCCCCACACCCTGGAGGAATCCCACAGAAATGTTTTTCAAATCTTCTTTCCTTTCTCTGCACTTAAGATCATGCATCGTCACCCTTGACTTTTTTTTTTTAAGATTTTATTTATTTATTTGACAGAGAGAGACACAGAGAGGGAACACAAGCAGGGAGAGTGGGAGAGGGAGAAGCAGGCTCCCCGCCGAGCAGGGAGCCCGATGTGGGGCTCGATCCCAGGACCCTGAGATCATGACCCGAGCCGAAGGCAGACGCTTAACCGACCGAGCCACCCAGGTGCCCTGAATTTTTTAAATTCTGGAGAATGTTTTCCTAAGTGTTTTCACTTGTTTCCTTCCTTCAGATCCCAGCTCTCACTATGTGATAACCCTGAAAGCCTTTAACAACGTGGGTGAGGGCATCCCCCTGTATGAGAGCGCTGTGACCAGACCTCACACAGGTAAGCCATCCTGTCCGCCTCTGTCTTCAGCATTTTTTCCAGCAGCTTATGTGGAATGTTGGCATGATGTCTGTCCCATAGGTATCAGTGAAAGGGAAAGTATATGCCAGCGTGGGCTGCAGGCTTCATATAGGAAAAGAGGCTTTCAACACGGAAATTTCCATTAATTTCTGTTTTGCTTTTTAGAAAATGCTAACAATCTAGTCATTCATATAAATAATTCCATGTAGAATGTAGCACATATTTTTAATATGTTGGGATCTAGAAACTATAGTTTTGAGAGAATTACAAGTGATTTGGGGGGCACCTGCGTGGGCTTAAGTATGGTTAATGGTTAAGTATCTGACTCTTGATTTTGTCTCAGGTCATGATCTCAGGGCAGTGAGATCAAGCCCTACATCAGGCTCCGCGCTGAGCATGGAGCCTGCTTAATATTTTCTCTCTTCCTCTCCCTCTGCCCCTCCACACCCCTAAAAAAAATGATTTTCATCTTTTGGTCATGGAGTTATAACCAAAATGAGTGAAAAAAATGAACAAGTCTCCGTATCTCTGGAGGAATTAGATAGGTTACTAATGGTCTCAATAAATGTGTATGATCAGTGAATCCAGCATTTTCTTTACTAGTCACCTGAGTTGATTGGGAAGGTATTCTTCTATTTGCTTTTCATTTGCTTTTTATATAAAGAGTATAAAGTCAGTTGTACTATCCATTTGATCAACTGTACATTTATTACAAACGAGACCAAAATATTGTTTTTTGTAATAAAAACATTACATTAGTTGTCATATAATGTAAAATTTCTGTAGATAAAACATCTAATATAGGGCTGAATGAGAAAGTTTATTGAAATAAATATATTAGACTTGTAAATTTTTCTAAAGGGTCCTGAAAACCCAAGAATTTATTATTTGCAGAAATGCTCTTTCCCCATTTGTTTTCCAGAGCTGTGTATCTCTATTGCCTGCTGTATTTTCTGGATACTTTGTGTAATAATGCAAATTTCACATTATTCTTTTTAAAAAGATCATCTCTGCCCCCTTTTTTCTTTAATGCTTTTACTTAATAAGACCAGCATCATCACTACATGTTTGGTAGTTCTGTCCTGTCTTCTCCTGTGTGCTTATAATTTATAAGTTCTTTTGCAAAGAGCTTTGGTATTCCAGAAAGGAAAAAAAAGTAAGATGAAAAAGAATATTTAAATAAGTGGTTTGCTACTTTCTTAAATTAGCCTATAATTTTGAAATTTTCTCTTATGTCACTTAAAAATATAGCCTTCTGGTTAGAAGTATACAAGGAAATGTTCCTAAGTCATGTAACCTTGTTATCTTTTCCAAGAGTTATTACAAATAAAAAAAATTTCTCAAAGAAGTCTAATGATTTTTGCACCTGAAGGTGCATTTTCTATAACTAGTTGGTTTGTTTCCTGATCTTTGAACAAAGCCCTTGACTATAATGTATGCTGTTCCTCTGTTACTTTAGTCCTCATTGTGTAGGAAATACACAAATGGAGACTATTACATTAGTTTGGCACTTATTCATAAACAAGGTTCATGCCATTTCAGGTTTTGAGTTACAGGAAGGGCCACTCTCCTTAACCAGGTGGGAAACCCATTTTAAAACCTTAACTTAAAATAAATCAATATGTATGTACTTAGAAAACCTGACCAAGAGTTGATAAAGCCCAGTGGATCCTACTGTATTGTCCTGGGCTCATGGTCCTTGGTGCATATTCTAACCTCTGTTTTGACACTGAGCTTAGAGAAGGTGTCAGCTGCATATGGCACAGGACATACATGAGTATAGACTTTTCTGTCAAATAAGTATTCTGATTTCTAATGTTCATAAAGGCTGTCACTTGGACCCATAAGTATGTCATTTCACGTAACTGATTGGGATTCATTAGGTGGGTTATTCTCTGATTCTACTGGAGAAAGCATAGCAGATATTCCCTCATGGTGTCAGCCTACCTTTTCCTCAGGAAGAGTAATGCCCTTGAGTTCCTTTGCTTTATTTGGATGTGAGCCATTTTGCTTTTAGACCCAGGACATCAGCAGATCTGAACTGGACCCTGTGTGGATATCAGATAACCCTAAAACCAAGGCCAGGCTTAGTTGCCATTGGCTGACATTCAGGACTCAGGCTTGAGAATAGGACCCTCACATGTTCATTGACCTGCATTGATAAGCCATGTCCCCAAAATTCAGTCACATTCATCAAAATACCAAAACAGATCATGAGCTTTGTGTTGCTTGTTCTGAAATTACACCCTTGATTTTAAAAGTACTTTGTATCTTCTCACAATCCTTTTTGGAAAGGAGATAGAATTTTCAAGTAATTTAAAGAAATTCAAGTATGAATATGTTAATGTAATCATTGGATTATCAATTGTTAATATACCTAGAGAATACAATAGAGAATATAGTTAATTATTTCCCTAGACATTTTCCTGCAAATTTTTTCTGAAAGAACACAAGTGGAAATATTCTTTTTAATGAATGGTGGTTATCTTTTAACTCCGGATTCTCTTTCTCTTTCTCCATTTCTCACCTTTCATTCCATTATATTACCCTGCATTTTCCTTTTCTTTTATTTTTGTTTATGTTAAAATGCCACTTCCCTTTTTTAATTACTTTTTACCCAGACACTTCTGAAGTTGATTTATTTGTTATTAATGCTCCATACACTCCAGTGCCAGATCCCACTCCCATGATGCCACCTGTGGGAGTTCAGGCTTCCATTCTGAGTCATGACACCATAAGGATCACATGGGCGGACAACTCACTGCCCAAACACCAGAAGATTACAGATTCCCGGTACTACACAGTCCGATGGAAAACCAACATCCCAGCAAACACCAAGTACAAGGTACTGGCACATTTGCTCTAGGTGAGAAAATCTAGCTCTTAATATTTCCTAATTCTAAAGTTCTTGATTCTTATGCTTCCAGAATGCAAATGCAACAACTTTAAGTTATTTGGTGACTGGTTTAAAAGCAAATACACTGTATGAATTCTCTGTGATGGTGACCAAAGGTCGAAGATCAAGCACATGGAGTATGACAGCCCATGGGACCACCTTTGAATTTGGTATGTGTTGTCTGAATCTTTGTAAGACGTGAAAGCCAGTGGAAGTCCAGCTAATGCTGGGCCACATTCCAAGTCATGAGACTTCTCATCACCTGCTTCTACTACCCAAGGAAAGAATCAAGGGCATGAATTAACCCACTTACAGAACGTAGTGAGCAGCACAGCTGGAGTTCAGTGTTTGCTTTTTCAGCTGATGAATTAGGTTTCCTTCATCACTGAACAAGAACATTAGCAAATAATGGGATTATAGAATGCAAAGTATACTAGATTTTAGGAATCAAGGGACTTGAGTTCCATCCCAGGTCAACCAAATACTGACTGTGTAAGTCATAAGTAAGTCATCCAGCCTATCATTTCTTCCATCTGCAGAAGAGGGGTGATAATAATATCTGCTTTTCCTACCTTATAGGGTTATTGTAAGGTAAAATGAGCAGATGAGAAAGCACTGTGTAGATGTAAAGGATTACTGTTATTAATCCTGCTTTATTGCTAAATTGAGATAGAAAAAATGAAGCGACCTGCTCTTCACCAAGCCTCTGCCAATGCCATGCTTGCTAGAGCCTCAGACCTTTACCAGGGAACCTGAAAGCTGCCCCAGCAGCCTTCTTACAACCAGTTAGTATCTGGTAAAATCCCATTGGGGCAGCCTAAGGGATTTTGTCTGTAAGTAAACATGAAAGATAAAAGACACCTAGCAAATTAAGGGGAAAGCAGGCTTGTATCCAAGTTTGAGATTTTGTTTGCCTTTTGCTCATTTGTAGGTCTGCCCTCTACCTCTCGTACTTTTCTAGCATGGGGATATGTGTAACCATTGGGAGCCTCTGTCCCTTCCAGCCTCCTATGGCTTTTTTCTCCTGTATATAAATAATGAAAAAATGGCGCTAATCAAGTCTCTCCAGACTGGGCCTGGCCCTGATGTCTTTTTGTCTCCTGCACAGTTGGTTGGACTTCCTACAGAGAAAAGGGGTTGGATCTGGAGAGCTTAGAAATAACAGTGCATAAAAGTTTAAATAGACCTTGAGTTTGCTTTCTTTGCTAGTTTTAAGAATATCTTTTTGCTTCATTCCAATCCATTAGTTAATAAATAATATTATGTATTTTCTTAGGATGTCTTCATTTCACCAGGCTTCCTTCCATTGTATGCTAGGAAGATTCCAGTATTTTAGGAAGAGAAGAGTAAATTTAAGGATGTACTTAATTTGCTCATTTCTATACTAGTACATTAAAAGTTATTAGCCATAACATGGAAATAAAAGAAATGCAGTGTTGTTTTTATTGTTGGTGTTGTTTCATAACAGCTTTGCATTTCAGAGCAATAATCTCAAATAGTTGACAGTGCAAACTTAAAATAAAAACAGCAATTTGTAACTCATTTATTCTTTGAGGGAATAGGGGGTTTCAAACATTATATTTTGTTTGGAGAGCCAACTATAAGTGAAAGAGAAAATTATTTTACACTTGAAAATATTCTAACAAAATAATCCAAATTTGGGGAGGGGGGAAGTCATCTTGGGCAAATTACATAACTTTTTTCATTGTCGATGCCCTGCTCTATCAAGCAGGGATAGTGGCAACTGTCTTTCGAGTTGCCATAAATATTAAGTGAAGTACTATTTATAAAATGCCTGGTATAATGTAGATACTTGGTAACTAACTACAGAGGTCTTTTGATTTCCTTACCTAAGAACCCTATAAATCCCTGATCTCCAGCCCAAGATACCAATTCTATATCCTCATAGTATGGTGTTTTTTCTTTGGTACTTGGCATATTCTTCTTCTTCTTTTTTTTTTAAAGATTTATTTATTTATTTGACAGAGAGACAGCAAGAGGGAGAACACAAGCAGGGAGAGTGGGAGAGGGAGAAGCAGGCTTCCGGTGGAGCAGGGAGCCTGACGCGGGGCTCGATCCCAGGACTCTGGGACCATGACCTGAGCTGAAGACAGACGCTTAATGACTGAGCCACCCAGGCGCCCTGGCATATTCTTCTTTTTATTGGATCTGTTTACATGTAGACTATGAGTTCTTTGAAGCCAGGAGACTTTAGCTTTTTTGCCTTATACTTCTTATTGCACCTTATAAAAGGAAAGGGTTGCAGAAATAGTGAATGAAACTGGAATGGACAGGAATTATTGAAAGTGTTATTATTTTGTAGTTCCTACTTCTCCACCCAAGGATGTGACAGTTGTGAGTAAAGAGGGAAAACCTAGGACCATAATTGTAAATTGGCAACCTCCCTCAGAAGCCAATGGCAAAATTACAGGTAAGATGCCTTTGAGTGTGTATCTGTTCTCTGTTCCAGTCATGCAGAAGCATTCCAGCCCAGTACTGTGTAGTTAGGAGAAGTGGGAGTCCAGAGGTTGGCTTGATCATTTTATGAGGCACAGGGAGTCATGATGGTCCTTGAAAGTGGACCAGGGGGGTGCTGTTTGCTCATATTAACGTAAACATGAATTGCCAGTTGGTTGTTCTGACTCACTGAGTGAAAATCTGATGGGTGTTGTTACATTAGACAGTCTTTGGCTACATTGGGACCTTTTGGACATACTTATTTTCATCAGAAAAGCTGTTCTTCTCTGCCTCTGACTAGATGATCACCATGGAAGTTAAAGACCCTGCCTGATTCTACAGGGTAGTACCCAGTAAATACAGATTCAGCTCTTTTAACCTGAAGTCCCAAAAAGCTCATTAGACTTTTAATTCCGTTTTTCCCCCAGGCCTGCTACTTCAGCTTCCTGTGCTCTAACACTAGAGTTAGAAGTTTGAATTGGCCTAGGCCTTTGAAGGGGCCTGGGATTTTTCCTTGGACTTCCAGAGAACTTTCCACGTAGAGGACACTATGTTTTCCTCAGCTTTATCAGGGAGGAAAGCCTGAGAGCCTGGGATTTAGCTGTTAATTATTCTCGTCGGAACCTCTGCTCCATGTAGGTGTATCCTGAGGAACAGGAGTTTGCTTTCTGATGTTCCTTTGTATGAATAAGGAAACTGAAAGCATGTCTTAATATTGTCCTGCTTCAACTTTCAATTAGAATTTCTTCCCATAAATCCCTGGTGTCATTTTTTAGGTTTTTGAACTTGCCTGTTCTGTAAAAGAATGAAGCATGACTTGACTTGGATTACATTTTATTTTGTCTTCAAAAACCAGTAATGATGCAGTCAGTGCATTTTTGGCTGTGTAGGTCAGGTAGGCATGTGGGTGTCTGTTCTTGCCTCAAACATGGAGACTGAGTGCCCCCTGGTGGGAGTAGCAGGTGATGTTTCACTGTGACTTCACCCACTTCAAGTCTGGGAGAGCTTTAATAAAGGTACTGCCCACATCCCCAGGTCTCCCAGGAGTTTTTCTTCTGGGAAATCACATTGCAGAGAGCTAAACAGCATGTTGGGCCAGTGTTGGTTTTCAAAAGTGCATTATTTTAATCATAGACCCTTGATGGGTACATTATTCAAATATTAAGATGTTGAAATGATTGGATTGTTTTCCTTATATTTCTTAGCTTCTGAGAGTTCTCAACCCTATATTATTATCATAACTACTTTTATTGCTTCAACTACTGATACAGATGATAACTTATAACCTGGCACTGTTGAAATTGTGGTTTTTCTCTTTATGATGTTCAGTGTAGCATTTTGAATGCATTCTACTGTTGGTCTTTAATCAGTAAGTGGTTCTCTACTTGTATATGCTATAACAGATATCTTTATTGACTTAAGAAAAGAAAAGGCAGGAATAAGATATCTTTTCTCATTTCCTCGTTTGGACAGGTTACATCATATATTATAGTACGGATGTGAATGCGGAGATACACGACTGGGTTATTGAGCCTGTTGTGGGAAACAGGCTGACTCACCAGATACAAGAGTTAACACTTGACACACCGTACTACTTCAAAATCCAAGCCCGAAACTCAAAGGGCATGGGGCCCATGTCTGAAGCTGTCCAATTCAGAACACCTAAAGGTAAATCTCCACTAAACAGCATTTTATTCTATGTCTCTTTAGTGGGGCAATGCTTGCACATATCACTTTAGCATATAGAGACTATGGAGACTATAAGAAGCCCTGATGGGTCCCCGCGTGTGTGCACCTAATCTCAGCTGGTCCGCCCGAGACCCACTGAGCGCCAACCCTATTCCCCCGCGCGGTCCCATAGCGCCAACCCTATTCCCCCGCGCGGTTGGTTTCCACTCCAACAAGATGAAAGAAACTATCGTGAACCAGGAGAAACTCGCCAAACTGCAAGCACAAGTGCGCGTTGGTGGGAAAGGAACTGCTCGCCGAAAGAAGAAGGTGGTTCATAGAACGGCTACAGCAGATGATAAAAAACTTCAGTTCTTAAAGAAGTTAGGGGTAAACAATATCTCTGGTATTGAAGAAGTGAATATGTTCACAAACCAAGGACCAGTGCTCCACTTTAACAACCCCAAAGTTCAGGCATCACTGGCAGCGAACACTTTCACCATTACAGGCCATGCTGAGACAAAGCAGCTGACAGAAATGCTACCCAGTATCTTAAACCAACTTGGTGCAGACAGTCTGACTAGTTTAAGAAGACTGGCTGAAGCTCTGCCCAAACAATCTGTGGATAGAAAAGCACCACTTGCTACCAGAGAGGATGATGATGATGAAGTTCCAGATCTTGTGGAGAATTTTGATGAAGCTTCCAAGAATGAAGCAAACTGAATTGAGTCAACTTCTGAAGAACATAAAACTTGAAGAAGTTGCTGGGAGCTGCTTTTTTATATTATGACTGCTTTTTAAAATTTTGTTCATGGATCTGATAAAATCTAGATCTCTAATATTTTTAAGCCCAAGCCCCTTGGACACTGCAGCTCTTTTCAGTTTTTGCTTATACACAGTTCATTCTTTGCAGCTAATTAAGCTGAAGAAGCCTGGGAATAAAGTTTGAAACAAGGTTAATAAAGTTCTTTGCCTAGGAAAAAAAAAAAAGAAGCCCTGATGATGAGCTTATGAGCCACAGTGTGAACATTTGTCTCAAAATGATCCCTCGCCCACCCATTGACCACCAGGTCAGTGCTGCCTAGGTTACTGGCCTAACCGTATCACAGACAAGGCTGTTCAAGGCAGAGGGATTGCAGTGATCTCAGAGTTTTTACCAGTCAGATCAGATGTGGTTCTCTTGGTTCTCAGGTAGAGTAATAGCATGTTATTGTGATGGATGATTCCCTTTACACACATGCAGGCTTTTAACCTGAAAGGCTTATTCGTGGACCTTTGTAGAGAGAAAGACACTAACAGGGGAGCTTTGAAGAAAACTCTAGATAAGAAAGTGAAGGTAAAGTACTGAACCAAGTGAGCCTAGGAATAAAATTTAGTTGGGGACTGAGTCTGTGGAAATGTGGAAACCATATATGGATTTCTTTTCTGTTAGTACTGAAAATAAGACTCAATTTGTTTGGAAGTTTGTGGGGTTTTATTTTTTTTCCTTTAAAAATTCTGCCTGTCCCACCTTCAAAGCTTGTGATCCTTGCTCTTGTTTTTTCTCCCCCTGTGCTTGGCCTGTTAGCGGACTCCTCTGATAAAATGCCTAATGATCAAGGTAAATCAGTAGATGGCCTCTCTCTCCTTTCCTCTCTTTTGTGACCTATTTTTATTAGCTTTTTGTTGTTTTTATTTCTTTTTTTTTCCTGAAAATCAGTCCTATATGTTAAAACCCACATTATTCATTGGCCAAAGTGGAGTTGAGTCCATGTTTGTGGCACTTGGGGTATCTGAAAAGCTGGGGAATTGACTTAGGGGTTAAATAGGCAGGGGAAAAACTGAGGAGAGTAAACGGAGTTCTGCAGCTGTACATTGGCCTTAAGTGTGGGCCAGTTTGTCCTCTGTGCTAAGATACTGAAATTCTGTAACAATGATAGGCATTTGGACCAGTATGAGAACAAGCATACCAATTTGTCGTATTTGTATCTAGGATTACATTACTAAATGAAAAGTTGTAATCAAATTCAGCAAATACCCTATTTTCCTCCCCTCACCAAGAATCTACAGACTTACCCTACTGAATTGTGTGATCATCTGTGACAAAATTAGTGCTATTTATTCTGTTAAATAAGCTTAATTCAGAGCTCTTTTTCTGTTTCTTCCCTTAAATATATCTGCTTGTTTTAAAAGAGAAACAATTTAAAATGGAAACTTAGGAAGTACAGGCTTCAGTGTCACCATTCTCGAAATTGTCAACATAGTTTTTCCACTGTTATTGCTATGGTGGAGAGGTAACTGGACTGTGGTTTTCATCTCTGGGGAGTCAGCTAGAGTTGGTATCTGTTTTCTATACTCAGAGCAATGGAAGTAAAGTTGATGGTTGCTTTCAAGGTCTAAGAGTAGCCTTTAGAAATAAAAAGTCTTGGGGCGCCTGGCTGGCTCAGCTTGGTGGGGTGTGCAACTCTTAATCTTGGGGTTGTGAATTTGAGCCCCATGTTGCATGTAGAGATTACTTAATAAAATCTTTAAAAAGAAAAAGAAAGAAAAAGTCTTTGGATCTTGTTAATGGCAAGGAAAGGTGAGAACTTGAGGTTGCATGTTTCAGGGCTTTGGAAATGTATTTGCACTCAGTCTTTTGTTGTATGTTGGAAAAACTGCAAATGTGCTTGTGTATATGTGTAAGGCGCCCTAGTGATGGTAGACATTTTGACTTAAGTGTGAGAACAGAAAAATAACGATACTGTGTATGCACAGAGTATAAATGTGCTCATTGTTTTTCCCACACTTCACTGGATAAGCCAGAGTGCAAGTCTTACTTGCACCACACCTCTGGCCTTTAAAATTCTTTACCCATAGTTCTTTTTGGTGTTTGGTTAATCCTTGGAATTTCTTCATAGGTTATATTTAAAAGCAAAAATGCTGGGAAATAGAGGAATTAAACCAACCAGTTTATTGGCAAAGTATATTCTTTGGCAATTATTTACATAATATGATAGTTGGGCTTACATGTGGGCTACCTGAAAAATAAGCACCCTTAAGTCTGAAGAGCCTTACAAGGGCTAAGTCATCTCCTCCAACTAGACTTCATCCCAGTGAAAAGAACAACTGGAATCCTAACATAGGGTGTGTGCCATTTGGGAACAATGATGGCCATGGAAGTAAGGAGATAAAGGAACAAGTATGGACAACAGAAAAGGGATCGGGGACTGAGTTAAATATGCCCTTTTGGATACCCAACAACTTCCGTTACTTTGGGAGTTTTGAGCTTCTGGAAACAGAAAACATTGTTCTCATCTCTATATTTATTCTGTTAAATGAACTATATATAGACATATTCAGAATTTAATTTTTCATTTAGTCCAACTCTGATAATTTATATAAGTACTTGACATTGGCTGTAATGTTTAATAGAAACATTTTATGCATTTCTAGTCAAGCTTTATTTGTAGAAATAATTATTTATGAGTGTTTTCTGAAGCTTCATGCTCTGTGCCTCTGCAAAGGGAAAGGTTATATTCTTCCCTAAAGATTTATTATGTATGTAATAATAGCAGCTAATATTTGATGAACAACTGCTATGTGTCAGGCAGTATTCAAAATATTTTATAGGAGTAAGTTTCCTTTTAATCCTCAATACATTTTTGTGAAGTAGATACCATTATTATCGCTGCTTTACGATGAAGAAACTGAGACCCAAAGATAATAAATGACTTGCCAGAAGTCAAGTACGTGATAGGCCAGTATTCAAGTGAAGGCAGTGTGCTGTATTAACCATGAGGAGCAGCTTTGACTTTGCAATTCTTTCAGACTTCTTCAGGAGGAATCCAAACCTTGGACTGATGAATACCTTTGCTATATTGGGAAAGGGTTCCTTTTATTTGCTTTACCCAAGCAGCTTTTTCTATAAATGTGAACAAAATTCAGGACCAAGAATATGGATTACTAAAAAGCTGATCCTTGGTTTTATGAAATCTGTTTGTGAGATGGTCCCAAGCCTAAGATCGGCAGCCTTACTCATTGTATTTTATGACAGTGGATTAGGAGAGAGTGTCCTCAGTGAGCAACAAGAGGGGAGACTTTGTTTTTCCATTCTTGGGTATTTGGGTAACTGAGCAGGAACTGAGAACCCGATTTGAACTTCCATGTGTCTTCTTGCTACTGCTTAGGGTATCTTTATATTGGAAAAGGCAACTTCATAATTTGAGGAAAAAATCCAAACACTACTGACACCTACTAGGAGATCAACGTAGCCAGGTCCTTTGGAAAAGTCCACTTCTGTAATACAGAAGCCAACCTAACTGATCCCTTGGTTCCTTTTCTGAGAGAAGCTACTTTTGCCATAAGTGCTCTGAGCAGTCTTGCAGGAACTGTTTCCTGGGCGAGAGAAATGGGTGTGTTCCCACCTTATGAACAGTAAGTGGCAGTCTAGTTCCATGCTAGATACAGCCGTGGACCGAGAGTGTCAGCCTTTCAGATGCCTCATTGCATAGAAAGCTATACCTTAGTTTGCTTTGCATAGCTTATTTTGTCCCCTGTTGTTTATGTGCTACTTCATTCTCTCATGGACAGAGTAGACTGAAAATATTTTTTTGTAGAAAACACTCACTAGCTGTGAAGTGGACTCATCACACCAGTGGCTTGAGTCATTACTGACATGATTTCTTCTCCTTCAGCCTCAGGATCTGCAGGAAAAGGAAGCCGGCTGCCAGACCTAGGATCCGACTACAAACCTCCAATGAGTGGTAAAGTCTTTCTTATGGCTTTTTTGGCCCACTGTGGGCATGACATGGTTCTGCTTGAATCTCGAAATATCTTTTGTAGGTTCTTTGTGGTGGGTTAACCTGTTTCCTTTTATTTAGTAGTTACCTTTAGGCATTTTCTGGCAAAAGTTTGCTGAATTACTGCAAACTCATTCATTATAAGATCCATAAATAAAATTATTTCTCCACATAGCCAACTTAAAATAAGATTAATTCTAAACAAATGAGTCTTTTGCCCACTGTCTGCCTCTAGAAAAGAATTAGAATCTTGCTCTCAAAAATAAACCCTCTAATAGAATTATCCATCACCTAGAACAAGCCAAAGAAATGCTTTAGAATCATGACTTTCTCCCCACACTGCTTACCACAGTGTTTTAATTTGGGAATTCTAAAAAATTCTTCCCACTCTCCTAGCCAGCTTAAGAGCTGGTGCCTTCTAATTCCTTAATGATGGCACCTACTTCTCTACAGAACTTCATTGTTTATAAGTTACTTTCATACCTGAAATTACATTTGATCTTCATAACACTGAAGCTCAGAGAACAGATATTCCCATTTTATACATTAAGAGACTCAGTGGTGGAGAAGTAATGTGCCTGGATCCACCCACTAATTATGAAAGTCCTAGAACCAAAATCCAGATCTCTGACTCCTGATTGTGACTTTTCCACTATCACACGCAGCCTAAAAGGCCTGGGGTTCTGTACCAGATGTGGGAATCTGAGTCCTGGGCTGAGTTCTAGGACTCTGCGCTTTTCCTCCTGGGATGTGTGTATTATATTTATGTGCTGTCCACAGTATAATATTCAAGGCTCTGAGAAGAGCAGTTGTTTCCTTGTCTTTCATTTATACATTCGTTCATTCACACGTGTTTATAAAGGTTCAGATTCTATATAACAGGCTATGTATGGAAGCAAAAGGAGTAACAAAGCAGCTGACAGAGAAAAGGGAAAGCTTCATAGAAGAGGAGGTATCTGACCCAGATATGAAAGGATGCGTGGAAGATGGCTAAATGTCACGGGGCAGGGGGGTTGAACATTTCAGGAAACACCAACAGCACGTGCAAATGCATGGCAGCAAAAAACAGCCGGCTCTCTCCAGGGATCACACTGCCTGGAGACAGGCTAGGGATTCTCACATTAGAGAAGGTGGTAGGTTAGAACCAGCCTGCCAAAAGCTCAGGTACCATAGCTACGAAATGTGAGCTTCATCCTGCACATAACATGTGTAAGACTCCTTGTACCACGGGCGAACTGTGACCTCCATTTATTGAGTACCAAGTGTTATTACTCTGGTGAATGAAGAATGAGTTGGGGCTGAGATGATGATGTCAGAGAGAGTGGTTAAGAAGCTGTTGCAGCAGTCCAGATGAGGCTTCAGTAGTGGCCTGTCATAATGTCCCCGGCAGGACATGCTCCCACAGCAGGTCATTCCTACTCTGTCTTCCATGGGAGCTTTTGGTCCTCTCAGAAGTTAGAGGTCAAATGCAGTTAAGTGGGAATTCATCTCTGGAAAGAGCTGCCGCCGCCACCTCTGCTATCCCCACACCCCAGCTCCCCAGCCTCTGATTTGCAGTGCCTGCCCCGCCACATACCCTACCCAGTAACTCAGCACTGCTGTTAATAAAAGGTTTATGTAAAGCCCCAATATGGTCTAATTTTATTGGCCCCTAATTCTGTAGTCTTTCCCAAATATAAAAATGTATTATTAAAGGTCGGTATGGACAGTTTAAGTTGTCTATCTGCTTACTTTTTTCTCAGAAATGAGGAATAAATATGATTGAATCAAATGGGGAAGAATAAGCTCTTAAGCCCTCCTAAATCAGCCCAGATTTAGCGCTGTGCTTAGATGTAGCCAATAAAAATCATACAATCAGAAGTTGGAAGGTCAGCTAATGCAGTTTTATGGAAGGGGTTCCCACAATAAGTATACTTTGAATTAGTTCATAAGTTTATAAACCAGGGTTGTATTTAGGAATCACTTTAGGAGCTTTTCTAAAAAAAGATTCCCAAGCCATAGCTTCATGTTAGGAATTTTCTTCTACAGTCTCCCAGACTGGTAGAATGATTCTTCTTAAACACTTCTAGAAACTAAACACTCATTACTTTGTAAGGCAGCCCATCCATTATTGTACAGATCTGACTATTGTAGAGGAGAGAGGGAATAACTGGAAGGAAAGACATCAGCTATCCTATGGTATCATATCCCCTCTTTTTATTTTTTTCATAGCACTTATTACTAATAATTTCTTATTTGTTTATTTTCTGCGCCTACCCCAGCAGTCACATCCTTGTTGTACACTGTTGCATCCCTAGTACCTAGAACAATGCCTGGCACATACTAACTACTCAGTAAATATTTGTCAAATTAATGCATATGTACAGACCTACTTTTCCCTGAAACTGAATAAGAGAATTAACTTTGCAAAGACTATATTTATAAAAGCAGACTGTATTTTTCAAGTAGTTTTTGTGATCTCAGACATCTGTATGTGGGGGAAAACTTTAGCTTTCTGTGAATGTACATTTTTAAAATGCTTTTGAAAGTCAGAAAACTAAATTATTTACAAATGGTGCTTTATAAGACAAATGTATGCATAATATAACATAAGACACGGGGGGGGAGGGGCAGACCCTTTATTTGTCCAAGTATAATGTTCAGTATAATTCGAGAAGCTTTTACTGAACACCAGCTTTGTGCAAGGCACTGTGTTAAGAACTGTACATAGTGCATCAACTTGTCTCTGTAGACTACATGAGACACTTGTATCCAAAGCAAAGAGTATATTACAGAGACTCTCACATCAAGTTTCCATACTCTTGAGTGGATGCATTTTTGGAATTCTCAAGCACTAACAAATGTACTGGTTTTCCCTCTACAGGTAGTAACAGCCCACATGGAAGCCCCACCTCTCCCCTGGACAGTAGCATGCTGCTGGTCATCATTGTTTCAGTTGGCGTTGTCACCATTGTGGTGGTTGTGGTCATTGCTGTCTTTTGCACCAGGCGCACCACCTCTCACCAGAAAAAGTAAGGAGCCCATGATTTTTGCTATCTATTCTTTTGCTCCTCTGTGACTTCTGTATTTGGAGTTGTACAAAGAGATAAAGTTTACCCTTGAACAATGTGGGGATTAGGGGTGCTGACCCCCCCCATGCAGTCAAAAATCTGCATATAAATTTTGACCCCCAAAATTTAACTACCAATAGCCTACTATTGACAGAAAGCCTTACTGATAACATAAACTGTTGATTAACACCTATTTTGTGTGTTGTATATTATATATGTATATATGTTATGTATGCATATATGTATAATACATGTATATTATATACAAAATGTATATATATTGTATTCTTACCGATAACTGTAACCCTCCAGAGAGGTCTCTGAATTGCAGGATATTAGGTACATACCCTCACGCTGGCCCTAACCCCAACCCTAACCCTAGATATGAGGGGGGAAATGGAAGATGCAGTATTTATATATACAATGGAATATTATTCAGCCATATAAAAGAGGGAGATCTTGCCATTTGCAACTACATGGATGGAGCTAGAGAGTATTACTAAGTGAAATCAGTCAGTCAGAGAAAGACAAATACCATACTTTTCACTCGTTTAGAATTTAAGAGGCAAAACAAATGAGCAAAGGGAAAAAAAGAAACAGACTCTTAACTCTAGAGAACACACTGATGGTCACCAGCGGGGAGGTGGGTGGGGGGATGGGGGACATCGGTGAAGGGGGTTAAGGAGTGCACTTGTTGTGAGGACTGGGTAATGTATGGAAGTGTTGAATCACTTTATTGTACACCCCAAACTAATATTACACTGTATGTTAACTAGCTGGAATTTAAATAAAAACATTTTTAAAAGTCTGCGTGTAAGTGGACCCCCACTGTTCAGTCCCATGTTGTTCAAGGGTTAACTGTACATGAAAAGTGATGTTTTAAATATTTTTAAGGGAAATGCAGAATGGTTGTTCCTGTAAATGTGGGTCAGTGTTCTGGCAGGAAACAGGCATACTCAAGAGGGGTGGAAGGAAGTTTAATGAAGGGACCATTTACAGAGTCATAGGTGGGGTTAGGAGACGAGGCAGAGACGTTCAAGGCCCAGCAGCCATGATAAGCCACTGTCACCCGTAGGCCTGAAAGGGCAAGAGGTCTTCCTGAAGAAGAGAGAGCTGTGTTCAGAGGTCTGAAGCAGTAGGAGAAGGTTTGACAGGAGCTGGGGGTGCTGGGAGGAATGTGGATTCTGCCAGCCTCTAGCCCCACAGGGCGGGGACAGGGTAAAAACACTTCCTACTCTCCAGTCTCGTGCCTGTTTCTCGTCGGAAGCTAGGAGCAGGGTTGCCAAGTAAAGCAGATAGAGGTCATTTAACTCAACCTCTCGAGTCACAGAGCCAAGTAGAGAATAGATCTGCTGAGGGAAGTGGACTTTGTCCAGCCCAGCCTTGCCGGTAGCTGTTTTGGAGTACTGTTTGGTATATGCACAAGGTGAACCATATGCACAGGAGTTTATGGGCATTCTTACAGGCTTTCTCATGGCACAAATGCCACCTGAAATGGAAGAAGACCACAGACCTCTTACTCTACATCTAAGTTTAAGAATATTTTTCAACAGGGCACCTGGGTGTCTCAGTTGGTTGAACATCTGATTCTTAGTTTCGACTCGGGTCATGATCTCAGGGTCGTGAGATTGAGCCCCACATCAGGCTTCACGCTCAGTGCAGAGTCTGCTTGAGTTGCTCTCTCCCTCTTACTCTGTTCCTCCCCCCACCCCCTGCTCCATGTGTGCTTTCTCTCTCAAATAAATTTTAAAATCCGTTAAAAAAAAAAAAAAAAGAATATGTTTCAAGAAGTGCTACCAGGTGTGGAAGTTGAGGTTAGGACTGGCAGGGACAGTTTGGGGGTCAGTGGGGAGATACTGATTTAGTGAATAAGAAAGGCTCATCTATAATGAGGGGTCGAATGACTGCTAGCCCTGAGCTCCTCTAGGATATTGAGAGTTGTGGTAATTGTCTAGAGCAAATAGCGAGGTGATTCAATTATAATACTGCTTGATAACAGCCTATGCTTCTAAACTTGAGAGAGTCCCTGACCCTAGACCACTTTCAACTCACGTATAGTATCTGGCCAATGAGACAGATACCAAAAAATAAAAAGATTCCTGAATTACCCCTAATAGCAAAATACACCTATGGGCAATAAAATGACTTTAATTGCTGTATCCTAAAAGATCATAAGATGGAGTTATTGCTCCATAAAAGAGAAAGACAAGTTCGTGTCAGTGTTTGTGATTATCCCTCAGACTTGGTCTGCCCAAGGCAAGATGCATGTGTTCAAAACACATTTGTTTGTTTTCATATAGACAAGTACAGACTACCCTGTTGCTGCTTCTAGTGATGGCCTTGTCATTTTGTGTTACATGAGGCTTTTAATCTTTCTTTGCCCAAACAAAATAGCTTCCTATAGCTTGCATTGCCTCTCTTTTCCAAGGCAAGGGAGGGGGGCTCCTTTTATAAGCTCCCTGACCACTGCCTCTTACACCTCTCCCTGCCTCCTTTAGATTATGGAAAACTGTTTCTCTGAAACGCGTCAGCAATGATGTTATTTCTACTCTAGAACTTTTCTGCAAGGTTCCTTTGTTCAGCATTTCAAGTGTACCTACTTTTATGAACTTGGTTTTATATCTAGTTTCAGAAATCTTGATCTCTTTATTTAAAAGAATCTAAAAAAAACCAAAGTGATGGAATTCCTTAGTGCTTTGGGGTATTTAAAATTCAAAGTAAATAAAAAATAAAGTACTTCTTCAGATTGAGAGGTAGAAAACTGAGTTGGTAATAGGCTCTGTACTTTGAATCTGCAAATCTTGCAGATTTGTTACCTTTTGCTTAAAAGAATTGTGTCGAGTCTTCATGGGGCTTTCCCTCTCCCTCTCTCAGTGACCATCTTTCCAGGCATTCCATGAACCACTGGAAAATATGTGTGAGCTTTTCTTAATACTTTTCTTCCTCTCTGATGCCTGAAGTGCCTCCCATTTTAATTGTAGGGGCTTATAGGCTCTTACAAACTCAAAGTTGACCGAGCATTTAAGGCCTAGCCGCTCATTGCTTCTCAACACATTCCTCATTAGCTACCTCACCCTTAGCAGATGAGAACTACCTCCAGGTACCACCATGTGATCCAAAAACCTTCTTCAGTGTACTTCCTCCTACCAGAAGCCAGTTCTCCATTTATCCTCTGGATCTCAATGGCTCTCATCTTTCTAAGACCTTATACTTGCTGTTACCCCCTCCAGCACAGCTAACATTTCACTCTCTTGGCTTTGTCCCTTCAGCAGCAAGTGTGCTCACACCTCTTTCATCCTAAGAAATCGTAATTATAACTCCACTGCATGGTTCTCAGCTGTTTACAAACCCCTGTCTTTCCCTTCACCACAGAATTTCTTGATTACGATATACGCTCATCCATTCTTTCATTGCCTACTTATGCTTCAGTTCTTGTTAATTTGGATTCTGCTCCTACCACTTTACCAAATTGCTTTTGCTGAGGATTGATGGCCTCCATATTGTTAAAGCCAGCAGACTTTTTTTGAATTTTATTTTATTATGTTACGTTAGTCACCATACAGAACATCATTAGTTTTTGATGTAGTGATCCACAATTCATTGTTTGTGTATAACACCCAGTGCTCCATGCAATATGTGCCCTCCTTAATACCCATCACCGGGCTAACCCATCCCCCCACCCCCCTACCCTCTAAAACCCTCCGTTTGTTTCTCGGAGTCCACAGTCTCTCATGGTTCATCCCCCCCTCTGATTTACCCCCCTTCATTTTTCCCTTTACTCTCCAAATGTCCCCCATGCTATTCCTTATGTTTCACAAATAAGTGAAACCATGTGACAATTGACTTTCTCTGCTTGATTTATTTTACTTAGCATAATCTCCTCCAGTCCCATCCGTGTTGATGTAAAAGTTGGGTGTTCATCCTTTCTGATGGCTGAGTCATATTCCATTGTATATATGGACCACATCTTTATCCATTCATCTGTTGAAGGGCATCTGAGCTCTTTCCACAGTTTGGCTGTTGTGGACATTGCTGCTATGAACATTGGGATGCATATGGCCCTTCTTTTCACTACATCTGTGTCTTTGGGGTAAATACCCAGTGGTGCAATTACTGGGTCATAGGGTAGCTCTATTTTTAATTTTTTGAGGAATCTCCACACTGTTTTCCAAAGTGGCTGTACCAACTTGCATTCCCACCAACGGTGTAAGAGGGTTCCCCTTTCTCCACAACCTCTCCAACATTTGTTGTTTCTTGCCTTGTCAATTTTTGCCAATCTTAACTGATGTAAGGTGGTATCTCAGTGTGGTTTTGATTTGTATGTCTCTGATGGCTAGTGATGTGAGCATTTTTTTCATGTGTCTGTTAGCCATTTGTATGTCTTCTTTTGAGAAGTGTCTGTTCATGTCTTCTGCCCATTTTTTGACTTATTTGTTTTTTGTGTATTGAGTTTGAGAAGTTCTTTATAGATCTTGCATATCAGCCCTTTGTAGTGTCATTTGCTAATATCTTCTCCCATTCTGTGGGTTGCCTCTTTGTTTTATTGACTGTTTCCTTTGCTGTGCAGAAGCTTTTTATCTTGATGAAGTCCAGAAGGTCATTTTGCTTTTGTTTCACTAACCTTTGGAGATGTATCTTAAAAGAAGTTGCTGTGGCCGATGCCAAAGAGGTTACTGCCTATGTTCTCCTCTAGGATTTTGATGGATTCCTGTCTCACATTGAGGTCTTTCATCCATTTTGAGTTTATCTTTGTGTATGGTGTTAGAGAATGATTGAGTTTCATTCTTCTGTATATAGCTGCCCAATTTTCCCAGCACCATTTATTGAAGAGACTGTCTTTTTTCCATTGCATATTTTTTCCTGCTTTGTCGAAGATTATTTGACCATAGAGTTAAGGGTCCATATCTGGGCTCTCTATTCTGTTCCACTGGTCTATGTGTCTGTTTTTGTGCCAATACCATGCTGTCTTGGTGATCACAGCTTTGTAACATAGCATGATCTGGCAACATGATGCCCCCAGCTTTGTTTTTCTTTTTCAACATTTTGGCGATTTGGGGTCTTTTCTGATTCCATACAAATTTTAGGATTGTTTGTTCCAGCACTGAAAAATGTCTTTGGAATTTTGATCAGGATGGCGTTGAACGTATAGATTGCTCTGGGCAGCATAAACATTTTAACAATGTTTATTCTTCCGATCAATGAGCATGGAATGTTTTTCCATCTTTTTGTGTCTTCTTCGATTTCTTTCATGAGTGTCCTGTAGTTCCTAGAGTACAGATCCTTTACTTCTTCTTTGGTTAGGTTTATTCCAAGGTATCTTATGGTTTTTGGTGCTGTTGTAAATGGAATAGATTCTCTAATTTCTCTTTCTACAGTTGCATTGTTGGTGTATAAGAAAGCAACTGATTTCTGTGCATTGATTTTGTATCCTGCCACATTACTGAATTGCAGCATGAGTTCTGGTAATTTGGGGGTGGAGTCTTTTCGGTTTTCCACATAAACTATCATGTCATCTGCGAAGAGAGAGAGTTTGAGTTCTTCTTTGCCAGTTTGAATACCTTTTATTTCTGTTTGTTGTCTGATTGCTGTTGCTAGGACTTCTAGTACTATGTTGAACAATAGTGGCGAGAGTGGGCATCCTTGACATGTTCCTGATCTTAAGGGAACGGCTCTCAGCTTTTCCCCATTGAGGATGATACTCACTGTGGGTTTTTCATAGATGGATTTTATGAAATTGAGGAATAGTCCCTCTATCCCTATACTCTGAAGAGTTTTAATCAGGAAAGGATGCTGTATTTTGTCAGACAGCAGACACTTTTTAGTCCTTGGCTTAATCTCTCAACAATATTTAATTCAACTACTCTTCCTTCTTGAAACATCCTCTTCTCCTGTATGTCATAATTGTATGTTCCCTTTCACAGCTCCTCCTGTCTACCCAGCCATCAAACCTTCCTCAGGACCTGATCCTAGACTTACTGCTCCTTCTCTACTGTTCCCCAGTGATATCTACTCCCATGGCTTCATTGACTGTCTGCATTCCTGTTACTTCTGTGTTTCTGTCTCTGGCCACAGCCTCTTCTGAGTCTCAGACTTGCACGCCCAGTTGCCTCTTCTACATTTCCTCTTGAATGTCTCAGAGGCACTCACCGTGTATACGACAATTTATAATCTTTTCTGTCAAGCCTGCTTCTACCCCATTAATTCCAATGTTAGTAAACGGCTTAGTCTCAGACCTTGTCAACATCGTCTGCTCCTCTTCCTTCTCTACTCCCACCCCACCTCACATCATTTAGTCGTTAAGGCTTGTCATTTCTGCCTTCTAAATAGCTGTCAAATCTGCCTCCTTCCTCTGTTCCACTATCCTGGACCACTGTCAGTCATGGCTAAGACTGATGCAGTAGCATCCTACCTGGTCTCCTGTTCTGTCCCCCACCCCATAAACCCATTCTTCATACCACAGTTGGTATAAATGTTTAACTCAGAATTGATCTCCTTACTGTCCTGCTTGAAACCATGTAGTGGTTTCTCATTACTCATAGAGGGAAGTTAAACTCTTGGCATGTCTCTAAAAGCTCTTTATGATCTGGGCTACCTTTCCAGCATCACTTCATATCATTCTCCACATGGTTCACTATGCCTCTACCACTCAGGACTTCTTACAGGCCCTCTGATATCCCAGGCTATTGTGCTCTGCTTCAAGGCTTTGACATAAGCTGATTTCATCACCTGGAAAGCATCCTCTGCCCTTCCTCCTTTAAGTCTTAACTTCAGTATCACCTCTTTCTCCAGGTTTGTCCTAGCCACTTTATGCCAACAATTAAGAAGTAACTATAACACTTGGCATTTCATTAAGCTCAAAATATTTTAAAATAATGAGATCAACATATGTCTTCCTCACTTGACCAGAAATGCTGAGGGCATAGCAGTCCAGTACAGGGACTCACTGACATACAGTGGGTACCTAATAAATTCATACTGAGTGGATGAGTGAGTGTGAGTGAGTGAATGGAGAAATTAAGGCACAGAGAAGTAGACACTGTCATCCACATTCTTGACTTTACCCATTTGGTAGTCCTAGGTTTGGGCTACCTGAAATGTTGTTCCCTTCCTCTTTTATAAGCTACAGACTCTACCTCTATTCCATTGTTACATTTCTAATGTTCTTTCTCTATTGATTGGAACTTGAGAAACCTTCTGCTTTAGAGATAACTTAATTTTAAAATGCTGTCTAGTCTGTTGATAATAATAAAAAAAAATGGTCACAAGGCAGTAGTCAAATATGCCCTTGTATGTATCTTTAAATATGTGTGGACAAAGCAGAGATACATTTACTGTTTCCAAAAGTAAACTTCTTGCCCCTGTTTTCTCTTGTTTTGTTTATGTATTTTTAGTTTCTGCCTTTGCTTGAGGCATCTCTCAGAAGGGCACTTTTAATCATTCAAATAAGTTCAAAAGAGTTACTTAAAAAAAAAAAAAAAAAAAACCTCTTAAATTTGTGCCTAGGAAACGAGCTGCTTGCAAATCAGTGAATGGCTCCCACAAGTACAAAGGGAACTCCAAAGATGTCAAACCCCCGGACCTCTGGATCCATCATGAGAGACTGGAGCTGAAACCCATCGATAAATCTCCAGACCCAAACCCCATCATGACTGATACTCCAATTCCTCGTAACTCTCAAGATATCACACCAGTTGACAATTCCATGGACAGCAACATCCATCAAAGGCGGAATTCATATAGAGGTGCAGGTTGTCCCCAAATGTGGGAAAACTATTTCCATTTAAATCATTTTCCATTTCCTACAGTTGCCTGAATTTGGTGATTCCTGTGTGAGGTTAGGTTTAAAGAAATGTGTTGTGGGATTTGGTCAACATCTGATAAAGAGTAGATAGCTTGGGGGAAAAATAGCTTGTTATGGGGGAGAGGTTCTGTACCCAGATGAGACAACCTTCTAGATCTGTTAGGTCTCTTCTCATGTGTCACCAACTTGATACTGAAGCATTTGAGACAACCTAGCCTATGTCTGTACATTTCATCCTCTCCCTCCATTTGGAGTCCACCTCTCACTGTGGTGTTCAGAATGTTCTTGGTCTGGATGCTCTTACTCACAAACACCACCTGGAAGCATGGTAGGTGGCATTGTGTCAGCTGCACTGACTCTCAACAGAGACTACTGATCATTTTCCTCTTTTTTCACTTCCTGCAGAAACACCTTGTCCCCATTATGTTGTTTGCGAGTCCTGAACCCCTCATTGCAAATATTTTGCTGCTGAGGCTGCTTAGTGGCCTAAGGCACATGCTTATAACTAACCTCCATATTTGATGTCTAGGGCATGAATCAGAGGACAGCATGTCTACACTGGCTGGAAGGCGGGGAATGAGACCAAAAATGATGATGCCCTTTGACTCCCAGCCACCCCAGCGTAAGTTAAAAGCCTCTCATTTCCCCTGTGCTGCCAATCTATCCAGTCGTCCTGGGGAACCAATATGAATGATCTCTTTGAATTTATGTGATCCTGACACAAAGGATGACCCACTGAAGCTTCGGCACCTTGAGCTGGAAATACCAAACACTTTCATATTTTGCAATTAACATTATTCTTGAGATAAATAAGCTAAAAAGCCAACTACCCCAGGCTCCCAGGAACAGAGAAGTAACCAATCCCCCTAACAGTATGCACAGCATCTCTACAGGAGGGATGGAGAAGCATCCTTCCGGGCTGGAGCTGAGGATGGCCAGATACCATAGTGTTCCTTAGACTTCCTGATACACATTCAATGTTGATGGGCACCTGCCATTTTTTTTAATTAATGGACTTTATATTTTAGAGGACTTTTAAGTTTATAGAACGGAGTTTTTAAAACAAAATTTTTCAACCTTATTTGACCATGCCTCACTTTGATAAGCATAAAAGTTACCTGGCCTCCTTTAATAATATTTGAAATTCAAACTAAGTTAAATATCATGATTAAAAACCAAAAAACAATGGAACAAACCAATTCTTTTGTTCAGACTACTATGTCTTCTCCCTTGTCACTGTTTTCAAGGTAGGGAATCTGTTCAGACTGGCTAGCACGGTGGGGCTTTCAGGTAAGAGTCCCCTGTGCCATCCTATGGTGAAAAAGCTACCTGCCTACTGATAGCAAGTTTTTTCAGTTCTGTACCAGAACTATTTGCTGTAAGCTGAACAGATGCTCAGTAAGCCTTCACACTGTCAGATACCTAGATTCAAATCCTGAAAGCATCCACTAGATCACTTTCCAGTTTAACCTAAATGAGGTTTTGAATTTTTTATTCATTTCTTAAGATACCCAATTTCAGAACTCTCGGCCACCTCTCTGTCGACAAGTGGCAGAGATTTAAATAATCACAGATACCGTACACCCAAAGAAGTGAACCCTGGGCGCCTGGGTGGCTCAGCTGGTTAAGCAACTGCCTTCGGCTCAGGTCATGATCTCAGGGTCCTGGGATCGAGCCCCACATCGGGCTCCCTGCTTGGCAGGAAGCCTGCTTCTCCCCTTCCCACTCCCCCTGCTTGTGTTCCCTCTCTCGCTGTGTCTCTCTCTGTCAAATAAATAAATACAATCTTAAAAAAAAAAAAAAAGTGAACCCTGACCCCCTGTACTTGGAAACTGGTGAAACACCCAGGTGTGTAAATGCATACACACACACTGTCACACTCACCGTGCACAGATATGTAGGCACTAGATTCTAAAAGTCAGCTTTGAAAGAGAAAGGGCTGATTCATTAGCAGGTCATTTCTGCAGTAGGGACCGTGTTGAAAAAAGAAAGGCCTGACCTTAGAAGCATGCAGGGAAAAACATGGTTTTCCTCTGAAAAGAGGTGCCCTGGCTGGGGTCCCAGGTCTAAAAACGTAAGTGTCTGAAAAGAATAAATCCATTCCAGTTGGGTTTGATGTATAGCAAGGTGGTAACTTGACTGCTTGTTTGCTTTGTGTAAGATTTTAGTTTTTACCTGAACTGGCTTATTTTTAAATGTTAAGGAGAAAAGATATGTTGTACCAGTTGGTATCAGTTCTTTTTTTCTCTTTTTCTTTTTTGGGGGATGGGCAAGGAGTACACTTATAAGTATACAGTATTATTTAATTTGTGCCTCAATAGTTGGGCAAGTGAGTGGAATCTTTAATTCAGGAATCTGAAACCAGGTATTCTGATATACTTGTGACCTTCAGGTTTTGAGATCTCCTTTACCACACGTGGCTCCAGTCCTTTTTCCTCAAGCTGGGGTTCCCTGGAGTCTGTCCCACTATCCACCTGCCTGGCCTTCAGCTGCTGAGCACTGCTGGGAAAGAACTTGCCGGCATTGGCTGAGGTTCAGTCAGCCTTGTACAAGGCTTTGCTCAGAAGCCCAGGACCCAGGCAGCTAATAGCCAGTGATTGCCAAGCGTATTCTAGGGAGCTGCTTTCACATTGCCTTCTTTTTTATTTACCCAATTTGGAAAGCCTAGAAATGCCTTTAAAAAGAGAAAATCAGTTTTATTTTTCTGTGCTAGAGTCCTGCATACCTAGAATGCTTTTCAGGTTGTATTTCCTAGGTAAAAGTCAGGAGGCTTCTTCTGCTCCCCCTGGCCTTAATTCTAGAAAATACTAATGCTGAAGCTCCCCACTTCAGAAAACCACCTCTCTTCCCCTAAAGGAGATGCTGACTCCCAGACTGCCCTGAACCTCCTCTGCCAACTTTTCCAAGTTGTGTTTTATTCCAGAGGACCACCTGAGGCTTCTGGTCTCTGAGTGCAGGGGAAGCCCCTGTTTTGTTCCCCAGGCCTGAAGGAGGGAAGGGGCATTGATGCTCCAGGGCCCTTGGTTGGTTGTGCCACCTGCCTATCTGACAAGTGGCCAGGGCAGGAAATAGCTGGAGAATAAAAGCGTCTAGGATTTTTCTTCACCAGGTCCCACAGAGATCTAGGGAGATCCTTGGTGACAGAGACATTGAATAGACTCCAAAGGCTATGAAGTTTTATCACAGTTTGTGATGCCCTTGCTTAGAGGGAAAAAAAAGGTCCCCTGTGTTCCTAGTCAGCCCCACCTCTTTGCCTCTTTGATGGGTTTAGAGCTGTCCATGTTGGTCTTAAACATTCTGTTTCTAGAAGTACTCTAAGGGAGTACCTAAGAGAAGCTTATTCCCTAACTGGGCTTCTGATTTTGTTTGTTTGCATCTCTAGGATTGATAATGAAGCCTCATTAAAGAAGTGTTTTGTCTTCATAGAAAGTTGTATATGAAATATCTGTGTGGAAATTTGGATTCGTTAACAAAATGCAGCAAATTTAATTCCTTAGGCATTGTGGGAAGGAAGGAGGCAATTAGGAAAGATCCATTTATATTTTAAAATGTGAATGGATGTGGCTGAGCTCCCAGACTAGAAGTAGTAAGAGATGGTGCCATAGGCCTGTGTTTCATGCTTTTCCTACTGGACTGGAGTTCAGTTCTGTTTGTGTTCCTTTTAAGATGTGAAAAACTGATTAAACAGCTACTCATCCATTCAGCCTAAATACCTATTGCATGCCTCATTCAACAATAAGAAAAAACATATTAGGAATATACTTGAAGGAAAAGAAACTTCTACTTTTTTAGCAGGAGAAAAAATGAAGGAAACCTAAACCATCATTTGTTTGCTTATGGATTTATATTTTGTGACATACTCAAATAGATATTTTTTAATAACTCATGTAATCCATGTTTATTGGGAAATACAGATAAACCAAAAGAAGTCTTTTTTAACTCCTGACCATGCCTCCCCACAAGATAATCCCATTAACATTTTAGTGCATATTGCTCAGGGGTTTTTTCTGTGTGTGTGTGTATATATATATAGAGAGAGAGAGATACATAGGAGCGTGTTGATTTAAAAAAATAAATGTAAAACCATGGCTACTTGTTCCCATCCAGCCAGCAGCCACTCGGAAGCTAAGGGAATGGTTGTACTGCACGGGAGGGGCAGGGGTGGCTTTGCTCTTGAACTGTGACTTGTGTATGTCCGTGCACGCATGTTAAGCACTTCTCTGTCTTGTGTTCATCCACAGCTGTGATTAGTGCCCATCCCATCCATCCCCTCGATAACCCTCACCATCATTTCCACTCCAGCAGCCTCGCTTCTCCAGCTCGCAGTCATCTCTACCACCCGGGCAGCCCGTGGCCCGTTGGCACATCCCTGTCCCTTTCAGACAGGGCCAATTCCACAGGTGAGAGATGAGGCTCGAGCCCCAGGTGGAAAGCATTCCACGAGTTGGCAAGCTGAAATGGGAAGGACTTGCCCTGCTTAGAAGGATTTGAAATTTTTCTGTGTTGTTTATGTATCATAACATTTCTGTTAATGACTCAAATTGATTTCTGTAAAATTCACCCCCCATTTTTTTCTCCCAAAGTTGATAAGTGCTTGGTGCAAGGTGTCCTTTTAGTAAAAACACAATAACCCTAATCACATAACCATGTCTTGTTTCATCAAGTTGCATCTTGATTCAGTCATATTTTCAGTTTGTTTATTTCTTAATCTTCTAATCTGAACAGAAATCTCATTTGGGTTGCTTTTCAGACACTAGACATGGCCTCCGCCTCGCAGTTACTCTGTGGCTGCGAGGGTCTGTAGGGCAGCCGTAAGATAATTCTCATATTAGATCTTACACATACTTCTGCTGTGGCCTGAAGTAAGAGATGCATCCAGGGGCAGCAGGGCCAGTGGTCACATTGAATTGTGTGTACATTGTAAACCTCACATTGCCTGGAGGATTGTTGACATTAGAAGGGGCTGCACAGTCATGAATCATTTCTAAAAAACAGATTGGAAATGAGCCTAAAAATCTGCAGTTCATTTAAAGAAATACAGTGCCAGGCAAACATGTACCAGTTTGGAAATCTTAAGAAATAGCATTATCAAAACAGTTTTAAGGAGGAAATAATGAAGGTGAGGAGATAGTAAATGGAACAAATACTGTTGTTACTCATTAAATGAAAATTAACTTCCATCTTCTCAGTTTTAGGTGCAAATCTAGTAACTTCTCACATGTACAATACATTCTTTCTCCATCATTTGAAACGTGTCTGTTAATAGTTAATGATGTTACTAGTAGAATTAAATTTTGCTTATTCTGGAAAATAAGGAAATTTCAAGTGAATTCCATTTTAAAAGCACCTCAAAACCTCATGCTAGAAGTTTGGGTTGCTAATAACATTCTCCCTCTCTAAGTTTTGATCAATTTGAAATATACCCAAAACACCAAACGAAGATCAAAACTTTATTAAGGAATGCCTACTAACTCCCAAAGTTACCTCTCCCAAGCCTTTACTTGGTTTGGAGAACGCCACTTAAACTCATGTCCACAATGAACCTTCCTGCTCTCTCCCTCCAGATCCAGGTTTGGGGCCCCCTGCCTTAGGGAAAGACAATCTACTGACAGCTGTCTGGAGAACCAAACTCTGCTTTGCAGACCTAGTCTCAGATAGAACAGGGACCAGAAAGCAGCCTTCCAAATCTGCTCCTAGAAAGCAGTTTTGGTGTCCTGACTCTCTTTCTCTGTTTTTAAGGCAGAAGAATCCCACCCACTAGGTGTGGGCCTGCCCAAGTACATGGCAGGCTCTTCCTAGTCAGATTAGCCCCTTCCTCCTTCCTCTCAGACCAGGAGGGTGTTGAAGGTTGGCAAGGAGCAGAGCAGCCCCCACCCAGCCCTGACCCAGGTGGTCCAGTGCTGCTAAAAGGTCCTTTCTCTGTGGACTTGGGCAGACAGTGAAGAGAGGGAAAAGTAATGATTTGTATCACTACAGGATTCGTCACTTTAATGACCAGAGGGGATAAAGAAGGTAAACTAACAGCAGGGAAAGTCACTGAAGACAGATTGGAAACTTAGAGCAAGGATCTAAATTCTTGATGACCCAAATTCTCTCACTGTTGTATTTTCCTGGGTCTCTGGAGCTCAGTGTTGCTGAACATGTGGGCTAAGCATGACTGGGACTTGGCCAGGGCAGTCCCTGCTCTAGCTAGAGAGCCGCCACTTGACTTAGGAAGAGCACTTTCTACTTGTCCAGGCCCTCCCTCAGCCACTGTGAACTTTGTGTGTCTTAAACCCTGAGAGGTAAGTCAATCAGGAAGTAGGCCCCTGAGCAAAGCAGAAATTTTAATAACAGTGTAGTTTTCCTTGTGGGCCAGCACCACGCCCTTCACTGGGCATAGAACATGCCCAGCACTCTCTGCAGTTACACGGCAAGGCAGCCCTGGTGTGTGGCAACAGGCCAGGGCTCTGACTCCTGTAGGCAGCCCTGTTCTCCTTTTATACATTTCCCCCATCTCTTTTACCCTCAGAAGCGTATACATCAAAGTCAGGCACTGAGGCGGCCAGGGCAGGCCTGTGTGCCCAGAGCTGACCTAACCCGTCTGCCAATACTGGCTGACATGGTCCAGGCTGTAGCTGCTTCTCCTACCCCCTGCTACGCTCCCTAACCAGCTTCTCCCCAGCCCAGGATCACACGGAGTAGGGCCAGCAGCTCCCCAGCTGTGGTTATGGCTGGCCTAAGCAAGCACAAGACACGAGGTCTTCAGTGCACCTCTTGAGAGGATGAGAAGCGACATAGGCCTGGTAGGGTTATCAGAGCCAGGCTTTCCACCCTGGGGGAAGGTGTGTGTGTCCCTCAGCCCTGGGACCCAAGATCTTCAAGCTAAGGGGTTAGCACTCATGACTGGCGTGGCTTGTCCCCTGAGAGCCCAAGGGAATAGATTCAATGATACCTCAGTGACAAAGGCAGGGAAAGAGGTTGGATTTCTACAGGCTGCTCATGCATTACTACTTAAAAGAGTTTATTTTCCTTTTTGAAGTGCAAGACTCTAGGAGTCAGGGGAGGCCCTCCTTCTGGCTACCTGGTGCGGCCTGTTTGCCCTGAGCTGGTGTCTCCAGGCCCCTCCTCAGGATAGGGATGTTGGTCTGCACCAACTCACACTGTTTGAAAGGGCTTTCTCATATGGTCTCCCTGGGTCTGGGTGCTGCTTCTGCCCCCACAGGGTCAGGGGACAGGTGGTATTGGAAATGGAAGGGCAGTATAATGTGGTAGTTCCAAGCATGGGCTTAGGAGTCAGGGTGCAGGGATTCGGATTCCTGCCCTCGCCATTCTTACTGTGTCCTTGAGTGGTCCCTAACCTCCTGGCGCCTTCTGAGTTACTATGAGTATAGAATGAGCTAATGAATGTAAAGCACACAGCATAGTGGCTGACTCAGAGTAAGCACTCAGTAATTTACAGAGAAAAAACGTTATCAATTATTCAGGTCCCGTGTTCGGCACATTTCATACATCTTCTCAGTCCTCACTGAATTATGTTGTTCTCCCTGTTTTGTAGGTGAAGAAACAGACTCAGAGAGAGTCAGTAACTGCCAAGTTCACCCAGCTAGTATGCCAGGATTATAGTCCAGGTTTATCTGACTCCAAACCCAGGGTTTTCTCCATCCCACCATGCTGCCTTCTGGAACAACTCTAACCCCTCCTCACATATTTGGAGATTGTCATGTTCTTCCTTAGTCGTCCCCTTCTCCAGGCTGATCTTCCCCTATTTTTTTTCTCTGGGCCCCAAACACCCTTCATATGGCATGCTCTTAAAGCTATTTTCAGACCTCTGGACTATTTGGTTGTCCAAGTCTCCCTTGAGCTGTGGGGCTATTGTTCTGCCGAGGCTGTACACAGTCCCCCAAGGGCATGCAGGGCCCATGGCATTGCCTCCCCTGTAGTAACCACCAGGCCCCGTGGGCAGATCTGGTACTTGTCAGGTGGACATGTTATCTATGACAGGCCAGTTTCTAAGACCATCTATCAGTCAATGAGTGATGTTTTTAATCTCCTTTTATGCTTACATCTTAATAGACAGTAGTCTCAGGAACTTTTATGTGTACTCCCTAGTAAATACTCAGGAGAACGTTGTAAAATTGTGACCACTTAGCTGTGTGGGCAAGAACATTTCAGCAGAGCAGCTGGTTGGCAAAGTTGTTTGGGACTCCTTTAGATTAGTCCACTCTTACCTAGCCTTGGCAGTGGTGCTAATCCATGTTGCCTTGGACTAGCACTGATCCTGAGTGCTTTTTGAGCTGGTTTCAGGGGCCCTTAGAAGTAGCCAGAACCCTGGTATGTGCATGTGTTTAATGGTAGAAGAAATGCTAACATTTAGACTTTCCTGCTGTAGAATCCGTTCGAAATACCCCCAGCACTGACACCATGCCAGCCTCCTCGTCTCAAACATGCTGTACTGATCACCAGGATCCTGAAGGTGCTACCAGTTCCTCTTACTTGGCCAGCTCCCAAGAGGAAGATTCAGGCCAGAGTCTTCCTACAGCCCACGTGCGCCCTTCCCACCCATTGAAGAGCTTTGCTGTGCCGGCAGTCCCGCCCCCAGGCCCTCCCACCTATGACCCCGCGCTGCCAAGCACACCATTACTCTCCCAGCAAGGTGAGTGAGGACAGCAGCACCACTGGTGGGACCCTTTGGCTCTGGCTTGTGGCACAAGTCACCTCTTCTTTGAAAATAGCAAATATCTTCCAAGCTTATCTTAGCAGTTTAGAGTAGCTGGAAGTCATTGCCCCGCTCAGGAAGTATATGGGCTCCCCTCCTTGGGGAATGCATATGAACCAGAGAATAATATGGTGGGGAGTGAGGGCTGACTTTCTGAACCGTGTTTTGGGTGCAGAATGCTTGGTGGTAAAATCCAGTGACTATGGGTGTGGGCAACAGATCTAGTCCACTTAGCCTCCCCAAAATGCCTCCCTCTGTAGGGTTACTACAAGCTAGGGAAGGATCAGGGAGGACAAGACATAGAAGTAAGGGGCCCTTCAGATGGGACGGAAGTCTATTCCTCAAGTTTACATGGCCCAACAAAGTCCCCTAACCTGAAAGGCATGTTTTTCCACTTCTCCACATCTGTTATGATGGTCTGTTTAAGGGTAAGTCAGTGGTTTTCAAGCTTTTTGGTCTCAGGGCCCCTTTATACTCTTAAAAGCTATTGAGACCATGAAGGAGCTTTTCTTTACATGGGCTAGAGCTACCAATAAGTTCGTGTATTAGAAATTAAAATGGAGAAAACTTTAAGCTATTTTATTAACTCATTTAAAAATAGCAAATCTATCATGTAAAGATAAATAGCATATTTTTATGAAAAGTAACTTTTCAAAACAAAGATATAGAGAGAAAACTGACACTGTCTTGTATTTTTACAAATCTCTGTAATGTCTGGCTTAATAGAAGGGAGCTGGATTCTCATACCTGCTTTTGCATTCAGTCTGTTGCAATATGTTATTTTGGTTGAAGTGTAAGAAGAAAACCTGGCCTCACAGATATGAAGTTGGAAAAAGGAAGAGTATTTTTGTAACTTTTTCAGAGAACTGGATATTCTTTTTTTGATACCGTAGCAAAACACAAGAAGTTGTAGTTTCTTACAGGTTTGTTTGTAACATAATGTAACCATATCCATGAACTGTTTGTACTCTGTTCCATTAAAATCCATCTATCTTGTACTTTGAATGCATGATATCAGACATCACACATTGGTCATTTGGAAAATATTGGCTCATTAAGTTATATACGTCCTCCAGATCTTAATACAGTTCATTATACAATGTCTAAAAATACATTTATTAATATCACCAAAGTCTGTAAGTATTGGGAGGCTCTCAAGCTCTTGGTGGCAGATACAAGTTTTTCAACATTCTAATTTTCATTTGAAACTTAAATTTTATCATTGGCAATAAAAACCGTCCATTGTTTTTCTTGAAGTGACTGGCTTACTTTATTTACTTTCTAGCAAATGTCTGCCAAATGCTCAAGTCTGAATAACTGGTTTGACTATCAGTCTTTCTTTGGACTAATGTTGGTGTTTCATTACAAAAGCCACAGTTCCGCTTGTAACTCAAGCTGTCACAGATGCCCTGAGCTTCAGCCAGCCACTGTCCTGTAGTATACAGAAGTACTTTATGCATACTTTCCATTTTGTCACATAGAATAAAGGATGTGTAATCAAGGTTGAGATTTCGTAAAATAATTTTTACTACTTCATTAAGGATGATCTTAAGTTAAACTAGCTTTTTTTTTTTTTTTTTAATTGCAAGGCATGTCCGTGAATGACTTTATATTTTGGTACCACTGCCTTAATTATGCTAACGCTCCAGCAGTTTCACCCACTGTTGCTTTTATACCATCAGCGCAGAGGCAAAAATATCTTACTGTTATGAAAAGAGTTTTGACCTTCTCGTTTTCTAAAGCCAAATGGAGTAGTTTCTCTAGCCTCTGAGATGCCCCACTTTCTCCCTCCTTCCATCTAGCACAGTGCCTTTTCAGAGCAGGATCTGTGCACTGGGCCTGGGTGCATCCCTCACCCTGAAGCAGCATTTGGACCTTAGTTGCCTTCATGAGATCTGGGGGAGCAGGCTCGGCCGCACACTTAATGGTGCCCTCTCCCCCACAGCTCTGAACCATCACATTCACTCGGTGAAGACGGCCTCCATTGGGACTTTGGGAAGGAGCCGGCCTCCTATGCCAGTAGTGGTGCCCAGTGCCCCTGACGTGCAGGAGACCACAAGGATGCTGGAAGACTCTGAGAGTGTAAGTTTCTGGGCCATCAGCCCAGCCGGGATGTCTGGGTGTGTGTCCCACAGCCTGCGAGTGTGTGGGTCACACTGATGTTGTGCACTGGCCCAGACTGTGAAGCAGATGTGCTCGTTCGTTGAGCAGGTATAACCTGAGCAGCTCCTCTGAGCCAGGAACGGTGCTGAGGGCTTCTGTGCTTTCTCTTCCCCTAGAGCTATGAACCAGATGAGCTGACCAAAGAGATGGCCCACCTGGAAGGACTAATGAAGGACCTAAACGCCATCACGACAGCATGAGACCTTCCCCAGGACCTGACTGCAGACCTGGGTCTAGAAGTCTTGGGATAGAGCCTGGAAAGTGAGGATTGTAGAGAGCACGCGAGGACAGCACCTAAGAGCACGGAGCGAGCGAGCCGCCCGGCCGGCGTTCTGCATGGGCCCGGCTCCAAGCATGGCCCCCCGCCTTCTGCTCGCTGGCCTGGAAGAAGCCCGTGTCGGGGTGGCTTCCCTTTGCCTGCTGATACCCTGCAGGACTGGGCACCATGGGCCAAAATTTTGTGTCCGGGGAAGAGGCAAGAAGTGCACCCTACATTTCACTTTGTGGCCAGGCTGTGTCTTCGTGCTGCAACTGCATCGCCTTTATGGAGTGTAGACATTGGCATTTACGTACAGTTTTATTTGTGTCCTATTTTATTTTACCTTCGAAAGAAAAACACTATCAAAAACCAAGGGAGTCCATGGTGTTCTCCACAAGTGGTTGACATTTGACTACTTGTTTGAATTCTGTATGGAAAGTCGTTGACAGTGTGGGTTGTCCCAGGGGTTGGCTTGTTTTTTGTTTTTATTTTTGAATTCTGCGTCATTGCATCCTCTACCAGCTGTTAATTCATCACTTTGAGGGGGGAGGAAATGTTGCATTGCTGTTTGTAAGCTTTTTTATTATTTTTTTATTATAATTATTAAAGGCCTGACTTTCTCCTCTCATCACTGTGAGATCGCAGATCTATTTGAATGAAATGTAACATTTGAAAAGACTTGTTTGTTGCTTTCTGTGCAGTTTCAAAGTATTGGGGCGGGGGTGGGCTGGGAGGTTGGGAACAGGAAGTGGAGGGGCTGCTGGGGCCTGTGAATGTTCCAGTCATCATGCTTTCTTCCAGAAGCCTGCAGAGAACGGAAGCATCTTCTTTTTCGTGCCGTCCTCGCATGTCCATCTCTGTTGTCACTAAGTTGCAACTGGACTTTCATTTGGATCTAGTGAAAAAATTCTGTGCGATAGGTGAGTTCAAGGACTTAGCTGCCCTGATGTCTGGGTCTCATCCTGGTGGGGCTGTCCGTGCTGAGGAGCCAGTGCCCCGGCGAGAGCCCGAGCCGTCCCTGGAGAATCGGGGGGCGAGACGGAGCCCTTTCCCGCTGTTACCGTGTGTTCCCTGGGCGACGCGGGAGGTGAAGGAAGGAGCTTTGTTTCCCCACAGGACTCCCGGCTTCTCTCTAGTCCCTGTCCTTAGCCAGTCTGGTTCTCTCTGCCCTGTTCCAGAGCCCCGTAGGGAAGGCATTCGCAAGGATGAGGCGGGCAGGGGCTGCAGCACCCCTGAGGCTCCCCGCTTCTCTCCGAACATTGTTCTGGAGGTAGCAGGGGACGGGGACAGCAGAAAGGGGCAGTGGAGGTGGCTGCCGCCTCTTCCATCCCAGCAGCTCAGCGAAGGCCCTGATTAGGACGGAGTAGCCGGGGGCTCCCGAAATATGCTGAGAGGCCCTTTGCCTTTGCAAACAGCCCTTACGTTCTTTGTCTTAAGAAGGTAAGGAGCTGAGGTGGGTTTTTTAAATATTGCAAATAGGAACAAAATCCAGGCCTGACCATCAAGCACCTTCCCCCGCTCCCCGCCGCTCCCCAGAAGACAGTACGGAAGGCAGTGAGAAGGCACATCAGGCGTTGGTTCCGTGGCAGGGGGAGGTGAGCTGCTGAGACTGCAGGTGGATACCCAGCCCACCGGCCCGGGGGCCCTGGGCTCTGCCCTGGCCCCACAGGCACCCCACTTGCCTTTGTACATTCATCATTTCCCCTCTTGAGGTCTTCACATGTATTTGCTGATGTTGTAGAAGACGAATTCTTTGTATTTATTATTTTGGGGGCAATGAGAAGTGCAATGCCGGAAGTCCTGCTGCCACGCTAGCTGGTCACAGAGGATCGTGCCAGGCGGGGTTCTGGAAAACCAGTGCACTTAAACTGATCCTGAGGAGAGCACTCAGAGCACCCTGGACACCAGGAGGGCTAGATTCCCCAGAAGCTGTCTTACCTCTTGCCCAAAGAAACGTGCTCGGTATTCGGGGCGCTCCCTCCCGTGAACCCTGACACTTGTGTTACCTCAGGGCCTCGGTACCTGGATACTGCCACAGGATGGGGGCGGGGGGGCCTATTTTTAAATAAAATAACTGTTCAAAGTTGGGGGATTTTTTTAAAATTAAGAAAAAGGAAAGCTATTCTGTATTGCACCTTTTCACAATTTAATACATTTTCTTACATTTTCCTGTGATTTTTGAAATTAAACCATTGTGTGTCTTGTAATGTCCTAGTTGAGCGGCTGCTCAGCAGCTTCCTCCAGGAGGATTTGGAACAAACGTGTCTGCTGCCTTGTTTGCTGGAGGGGAGCCTGGGGGGCTGCTGGGGACTAGTTTCTGTACACACTTGTTTGGCCTTTTCTGTAGTTGATGCTGTAAACTCTATGGCTTTTTAAAAAAAAACAATTTCATGTTTTTATTTAGTATTGGAAATCCAATACACTTTTTTAATCCAATCAAACTCCGGTGTGGTCAAAGAGTTTTTTTCCTTTAAGAAAACAAGAGCTTTGGGGTCCCCGGTTCCCCGCCTCAACGTGACCTCCCTATTGCCCACACAATCTTGAAGGCAGGAGTTCTGAGGGGCCCCCAGGGCGGTATGGCAGATGAGCCAGGAGTCAGCAGGCCACAGCCGGCTTCTCCACCAGCCCTGAAGATGAGTCTTGTTCCTGTCCCCCACCCCACCATCGCTGCCCTTCGGGGACTGAGCAGCCCGAGGAACGGAAGGTGGAAAGAGCCAAGGGACCCTGGCAGAGAAGTGCAGTCGCTCCTGGGAGGTGTGTAGGCCAGGTCCCCGATGTGGTAGCATCCTGGCCTGGGCCTTCCACTCCAGGGCCCGTCTCTCCCAGGGGTGACGTGTGGAGCAGGTCTACCCCGAGCCCTGCCTTTGCCAGGCTGCCTCACTTTCTGTCCGCCTGCACTCTGGGTCTTAGCTTGGGCTGCTGTGACAAAAATAGCATAGCCTGGGGGGCTCAGACCGCAAACAGTGATTGCCCACAGTTCTGGAAGCTGGGAAGTCCGAGCTCAAAGTAGCAGCAGATCTGGCATCCGGTGAAGACCTGCCTCCCGGTTCCGAGATGCCATCTCCTTGCTGTGGCCTCACGTGGCCAGAGAGATCCCTGGGGTCTCTTTTCTAAGAGCACTGATCCCGTTCATGGGGGCTCCACGTTTGTGACCTAATCACCTCCCAAAGGCCCCCCCTTCCAATACCATCCCATTGGGAATTAGGATTTCAGCATGTGAATTTGGGGGTACAAACTTTCAGCCCGTAACGTGGTGAGATCTCTCACAGTATCTGAGGGTCTAGCCTTGGAATATGGTGAGCACAGCAGCTGCAGGCCCTTCGCTGCATGAACTGGCAGTCGGTTGGGGGGGCATGGAGCCCCGCATCCTTACCAATGGCTCCCTCAGCCCCAGCAGATGTCTGCTCTGCTGCCGAGCGGACCTCGTGAAGCCCGGCTCGCGTCATTCCCATTAGTGGCCTCAGGATGGAGTCCGAGCTCTCCAGGCTGAGAACCCCAGCACCGGGGGCACCCAGTGTTCTAGCCACAGAAAGCAGTGGAATAAGCATCACAGACACTGTGCATGGACCCCCCCCCCCCCGCCTCCACTGCGCCTGTTCCAACAGCCCCCAGGACGCGCCCTCCTCTGTATCCACAGATGGAGCTCTTGGCATGTTTCACAGTGATTTATCAGTTTGAGTCTTTTCCCACTGGACTGTGGCCTGGTGGGGACATTTTAATTCCTCCTCTCCAAACGCCTAATGCCGGGGCAGTTTTGGACAACAGCAGATGCTTGTCTCCTGGATGGATGGACAGACAGTCATAAGGGCTCAGGGCCCCGGAGCATGTTGGAAGGTTTGCACACAAATCCCACCCCAGCCCTCCTTTGGAGGCATCCTAATAGGTCTCTCTCATTACTGTGCCAGGACCCTCCCATTCCAGCAGCCGTGGCCCTTTGGTGTCCTGGGCTGAACTTGGACGATAATAAAGACCTGTGTGCCTGGCAGTCCTAAGAAATGATGCGGATGCCACAGTGACCAACTCGGTGCTGGGAACTAGGGCAAGGATGTCCTCCAGACTGGTTCTAGACGAACATTATGAACAAGGCTCTTTCCCCAGTCCATCAGCCCCTCCCAGTCTCAGCCATCTTCCCCATACCGGGGGTGTAGTATCTTCCAGAGAGACCAGAGAACATCACTGAACACGCCATCGAGTGGATGGGGAAGTGGGCGTGGGCAGGGAGAGAGAAGCAGGGAGCCAAGAGGGGCCCCAGACAGCAGGTGCAGCTCTTCACCTTGAGTTTCCAGCTACCAAGGGGGGCGGTTCAGCAGGAGAGCTAAGAGAAGAGGTGGGAGAGACTAACTGAAGGAAAAGAATACATTTTTCATAATCTTTAAAAAGTATATAATGTTGAAAAAATGCTATTTAAAACTGCAATGACTCTCTAAGCAGAATGGATGCTGTTCATCTCAAGATGCTCTTTTACTCAAGAAGGAGGAACTTGATGGGTTTTAGAAATGAAAAGATGGACCTGGGGCTGAGCTGAGAAGGGGTTAGAGGGAGCTCTTGTTGCACTATAGAGTAAGAGGAATTCAGAATTTCCTGAAACAATGGGGGTGGGGGGATGCTGGCAGCAGGTATGAGCGAGACGGTGAGAGAGTGAGGGGCGAGGTGGGAAGGCCCCCCCAGTGGGAAATGGCTGCCCTTGAGGTGCCCAAAGGACTTTTTCTTTTTTTTTAAGATTTTATTTATTTATTAGAGAGAGAATGAGAGATAGAGAGCACGAGAGGGAAGAGGGTCGGAGGGAGAAGCAGACTCCCCGCCGAGCAGGGAGCCCGATGCGGGACTCGATCCTGGGACTCCAGGATCATGACTTGAGCCGAAGGCAGTTGCTTATCCAACGGAGCCACCCGGGAGCCCCACCAAAGGACTTTTTCAAATGGGAAGATCTGAGAGGTAATTTAAGGCTGTGTGCTCCTTGCACAACTAGAAACAAATCCCCTCAGGCTCCCCAGATCTTGCACAACGTCCGCCATGTGCACAAGGCCTGGCTTCCCCCCAACAAAGGACAGGTCGACCAACGTGGGGATGGACAGACCACAGATCTGGCATCTGGTGAGGGTGACCAGAAATGGGATTGGTTCACCAGAAACGGGGGCCAGAGCCGGAAATGACTAAAAGAATCTAAACCGGAGAATTCACAGAAATCCAGGGGTCAGAGGGGAGGGCATGAGACCTTTTGCAGGTCAAGGAATGTGAAGGCCAGTCAGCTTTATTCAGATTTTAATAGGCAGGCAGACTTCAGCTCTTGTCTCGGTTGCCCACCCTCCATCCCAGTGCCCCACCGCCTGACGCAGGGACATATGCTACGGGCCTCTCATTAGTGGGTCTACCTTCTTCTCTGGACCTGCTCTCCTGAAGGAGAAATCTGAGAGCCATTCTAAACTCTCCCCTCAACACCACAGCACACCCCTCAGCAAATCCTGCAGCTCTGTCTCAAGAGGCCCCCGAAATGGCTCCTCTTCGTCACGTGTGAGGCAAACTCCTTGCTGACCCCCCTGGCCTCTGCCTCACCAGCAGTCCAGCCTCCACACAACTACGAGGGTGATTTTTCTAACTCAGATCTGGCCTCTCTCCCCTGCTTAGC